TCTAGCTAAAGCTCGTCAGATAGGTACTGTAATCCCACATGTGAAGAGGTGGGAGCCATAACAGAAGTGGAGGAGCAGAAATCCCTGCAGGAACTCTGGGTGTGAAGACATTCAGGTCTCCAACCCTGAAGCTGCTCCCCACCCCACATCACTACGGCACAGACCCAGATTTGAGGGAGCCTGGAGAGGCCCTTCCTCTCTACAGCTTTAATTACTGGGTAGTCACAGTGCACAGACATGCCAACCAGGTCTGATTCCTCTTGGACACAGGCTTAACCAGCCAGCAGGTCACTCGGCTCAAGGCTCCACCTGGCCCACAAGAGGAGCTGCCTGTCTCCAACCATGTCTCTCACCCTGACCTTTGGCAACAAGACCTGCTCTCCTCCACCTCCCCATGTGTGCTGCCAGTAACAGCCTCTGAAACTCACATTTCCTAATTTAAAGATAATTTCTAGATGTTTGGGTTTATTTCTTGAGATTATCTTGGGGTTTGGCTGGACAGAAAAAGCATTTGCAACAAACATAATCTACTCAGAGAGAACAACATCGCTCTGAAGGGGGGAGTTTTAAAGAGACTTTGTGTCTGAGGAGACCTGATAAACACGTTGAAGGCTTCAAGCACACATGTACGGTAAACTGTGGATTCACAGAGTTCCTAGAAAGTTTTCCTTGTAGAAGTGAAACTGGGAACAGATAATCTTCACATCATTATCCACATTATTGAAACTGTGAAAACCAAACCACGTGGAATAACACAGCTGTTATAGTTAGAGGCATTTAATCTCCCACTATCTTCTCAAAATATACGTGCTCCAGCTCCTGGTTATGCACACAGCAAGCAAGGACTAGGAAAAAACGAGCATCAAGGAAAACTTCCTGTACTTATTCCTTTGTCCCCGTGTAAGTTCATAAATCACGAAAAAATCCTCCTTTGCTTAGCTCTAGAGTGGGAGCTGAATTTCCTAGAGCAAAGAAGAGGGGAAAGTGCATTTGGTTAGAAATGCTAACTATGTTTGGTCCCAAAAGTCACATTGTTAAGAGTATGGAGAGTGTTAGCATTATTACTAAGGACAGAGTAAAGAGATTTAAAAAGCTGAATTATTAAATAAATATCTCTGGGATCCTATATGTAATCATATTCATATGTGACATGGCTGTGCCCATCCTACTTGGCAGGAAACTCTACAAAGGCTTGGGAGGGCATGGCTGTTGCATTTCTTGCTGTGCCTAGGTGGAGGCATGTTCCTAATCCACTTCTGGGGAATGAATCTTCACAGCAACACAATATGATCTTAGGTATAGAAGCACTGGCCAGCCCAAACTGTATGAGAAAATGGGGCATGAACAGCCCTTCTACACCCTTCCTTTTGCACAATTGGTCTTCAGGCCATTTTTCCCTAGGGACCCAGGTGATTTTAAATCCCTTTTCTCACCTCTGTTCTGTGTTTCCTACCTGAATAGATTGCAGACAACATGAGGCTAGCTGGCATGTTTCGAAAATTCGTTGACCATGGAAATTAGAAACACATTAAATAAATGTGCCTCAAGTGCCTCAAAATCCACAAAGTAAACTTATCACTATGCTGATATCCAGTATGTGAAATGTTCTCCAACAAAAAAAATGTTTTCAATAAACACTCCAAGACAATCTGTGACACATTCAGAAGGGAAGAATGAGGTTAATTTCAGAAGATGATATTAGTGTACATCCTGTGTGTGAACACAGTGGAAAGATTTCTGTAGTTGCTTTAGCAGGTTTCACAGTATTCACAGTATGGGATCGTACCTGAGCATAATAGGGATTAGATGTCTTGGACTCTGCAACATTTTCAGATGCAATTACCTTAAAAGGAATAAATTAATTGGCAGCTCAGTGTTGTATAGGAAACCTGTGCTCTGCAGGTGCCCACTCCACTCCCTCCCAACCTGGCCCTCATCTCAATAGTGTTAAGGATGGCTTGTGATATTTCCATTCCTTTTCGTTTCATTTGGATGAAGCCATTCCCTTTAGGTTTTGTTTGGATGGTTCACAGCTATCTATAATCTATGCAGGTTATCAGAAGGTGGAATGGTAAAAGGAAAGAAATTAAATTTTCAGCTCTTTCCTTCCAAATTCTGTCAATTAACTGGAGTTGTTTAATTATGCTTTGCAACAGTCATATCTATTTATTAGTCACATGGCTGTGTAAGCTTAATTCTCCTTTATCAATTTAATATATCTTAAAACTCAGGTACAAAATTATAGCTACCTGAAAAATTTAGAACTTTCAAGCACTTTTAAGCAATTACTGCATAAAAGTTGAAAACCTGGAAGAACCATCATGATCCTGGGACCTGACCACTTGGAGGACACGTGATAAAACCTCACCTAGCAATCCCACAATTTCTGCCCAAACAGAACACATAATCTCCAAAAGCACTATCATAAAAGCAAGCACCTGCTTCCCTAAGAGACCTGGTGGCTGCAATGTAAAGCATTTATTGGATTTTAAAATCTGCGGGTAAATATGTCTATCTGGAATAACCCAGTGTGACACATAAGACAAGAAATAATGGCATATGTATCAATCATTATTGGCCTTCCTCTTTCCATTTTGATGGCCATAGTTTTCCTTCTGTTTCTTCACGATCTGAAATAAAAACGATAGGGTTTGGTGTCTATGTGTTTGTTTGCTTGTTTTGTTTCCCATGAGATTCAATTATTCAAGCGAGACTTCAAGAGACCTTTTTTTTTATTAAATCACACTGTCATGATAACTGATAGCTGTGAGAGGATGAGCAGAAAGCCCAAGTGCCCACTGATTTTCAAAAAGGCACCTTATCCTGCCATTTCTGTTGGGGGTGCTTTGTGCTCAGCAGCGCTCCGGGCTGAGCAGCAAAGCTCTAGAGCACTGCTGCTGCCTACAGGTCTGTTCGGCGCAGCGCTCAAATCGCATACGGAACGAAGTCCTCCGGCGGGGATGCTCCTGCTTGGGAAAGGGACCGAAACCCTGACACTAAAGTGTGTTGGCTTTGCTGAAATGCAAGCTGGCAATCTGTAGCCTCTCTTGCCCTGTGGCTAACCTGTGTTTAAGACCCCAAATCAGGTGGACTTCTTAAAGGGAAAGCTGCTCTGTGCTGCACGAGAGCACAATTTCTGCCTTTTTTTTTTTTTTTTTTCCCCGCAGTGAAGAGGAAACGTTGCACTCTCAGGTGCAGAGTAAGAGGAAGCATCTGCTCCCAGATGGGAACCCCCTCCCTCCACAGTGCACTGGTGCACGAAACATGATGGTGTACAGAAGGGTTGGAAACCACCTTTGAGCCTGCACTGGTGAACTTTTAGACCATTTGTGGTGTAATTAGAATTTACTAAAATTTAGTCAGGACTCTTCATTGCTTGGAATTTAATTAATTTTAATTTCTCTGCTTTTTCCTCTGTAACTCAGAAATTTTGATAACTGCTTTTCTGCCTCTCTCAGTAACACAGCCAAGATCACCTTCAAGATAATCAAGTTCATCATTGCTGAAATCAAACACAGCAGCTTCCAGAACAGGAGAGCAACAATAAATAAATTTATCCAGCAAATAGCAGCAAACAGTGGAGAACTCAAAAGCATCTATTTAACCAAACGTTGTGGATTTCAGTGTCAGGTTACCAAAGACTTTTTCAGATCACAAGCTTTCAATAAACAATAGAGGAAGGAGCAAATTCAGAAAGAGGAAAAAATATTTTTCCCCGTAAAAAAAATTTTTTCCTAATAAGAAAAAGTCAGCTTATTTGCAAACTCTTTATCTACAAATGAATGTTTGGTTCTCAAGATGAACAATCAAGTACAGGAGCACAGCACCTTGCAGCCACAATCAGAAGCTCAAACAACAGGATAGTCTGATCTGACACATGGAATCTCTCTGAAGCTTTTCCCGTTTAAGAGGCAGCACACCTGTTCCACATGACTCTTGGCTCCACACTGAGTGTGTGAGAACCACTGACTGGTTCACACTGAGTGTATGAGAAAATAAGTAGCTGTTCCATCCTCTTTAAATACCAGTTTTTCTGGAAAAAACCTATTTCCAGTACTGGATACCTAGTGAAAACTTCAGTGTGACTGGAAAATAGTATTCCGTTGTTTCTTTTTTTTTCCATTGGAGACTGTCCTTCTGTCAAAGAAATTCGTAAAAGAATTTGCCACTCCTATAATAATTACTGCCCATAATACAAATAACCTCTAGTATTGTGAATACAAATAACCTCTAGTATTGTGGGAAATCGTTTTAAACATTGGAGAGAGCGGATGGCAGACAACACTCAGAAATATCTCATCCTCTTGATGCAACTTCATTCCCTCTTCAGAAGTATCTTTTCAGCAGTTGATGTTCCTATCACTGTTTCCGAAAGGCAGCATGACCTCTTCAAAGACTGCAGGGAGAGGGATGACGATCAGAGAAATCAGTGGTCAAGGTGCCTGTGGCAGGGCAGGCCCCGGGCAGGAAGAATCCCCCTTCCCAGGCAAGCCAGCGGCAGTACCACACCGCGGAGAGCTGCTTTCGGAGGGGCAAGCTACAAATTCACCGGGACTCCGAGGGCTGGGTTGAACACCTGACACTTGCAGAATAAATACAGAGTGCACCTCCACAGGTTTCCTCGCTGAGTACTTTGTCGGACGCAACAAGAGGTGAGAGGCAATCACTGATTGCAGGAAAAAATAAATGGACGTACAACGAAACACTTTGGAATATGCGCTTCAGGGATGTACAGATTAAAGCAATTGCGAATACTAATTATTGTAGGGATAAAACAAAGCATTAGCAAGATGGGAGGGCCATGGCGCACACCGGGCACCGCGGATGAGGCCGGAGGCGCCCGCAAAGCCTCGGGCGGGGGTCGTTTCCTTGGGGACGGGGCTTAACGCGGCGGCGGGGCGGGATGGGACGGGATCCGCCCGGGGAGGTGCCACCTCGCACTTCCTCAGCGTCCCGCGGGGGCGGTCGCGGGCAGGAGTCGTTCCCCGGCGGGGCGGAGGCGGCGGAGAAGCGGCCGTGGGACGATGACCCAGCGCCGGGAGCCGCGCCCCGCCGCGCCGCTGGACCAGGAGCTGGCGGCGCTCGGGTAAGCGGCGCTCCTGGGGGTCCCCGCACGAAGGACGCCCTAAATGACCGTCCTGGGGTGGTGTCGGGTGACCCGACGGGAGCCGAGGGAGTGGGAGCTGCTGGTTCTTTGCTGCTGGATTTTGGTGGTGCCGCGCCACCCGATGGGAGCTGACAGGGTGGGAGCTGCTGGTTCTTGCTGCTGGGTTTTGGTAATGAAGTGAGTGATAAGACAACATGGGGTCTGTCTCAAAGAGCCCGCCAAAGGGCTCCGGGCGTGGTGTGCGGTCCCTCGGAGAAGCCCAGTGCCTCGTCCCTGCGGCAGGTGTGAAAGGTTGGAAGGCCACAGGTGAGTGGGAGGAATAAATAATAGTCAGGAAAAACTGGAGCACAGGAGGCGTTTCGAATGTAGTGGAGAGTTTGCGGCAGTTTCCCTCGGAGAATCTCTGTGATGTTGAAACCTTCTCTGATGGGAAGAGCCCAGATTGTGCCGTGTCACTTTCCCTCATTTCAAGGGAGTGCCAAACCCAGAGCTTGGAATCAGAGCTGCTGTCCTCCCCGTGCCCTCCCTTTGGCTGCCTCCCTGTAGTTTGGTTTGGGCCCTGGAGCAGAGGGCTGCTATCCCAGCCACCATGCCGGCTGCTCCTCGCTGGGACCTGGGAGGCAGCAGGCTTCCCAAAGGTGCTGTAATTCGCAGCCGTTACGAGAACATCACACTCATTGAAAAGCAAAAATCCCAGGAGCAAAAAGGAAGGCTGAAGGATGCAACAGACCTTCCCTGTCTGATGTGACACCCATTTTGCCTGGCAGTTAGTTTTGTTTTTTACAGGAGAAAGGCAGCGTTGTCGTGGAGGAACAGCACAGGTGGGTGCAGGGAGGGTAGGTTCAGTGGCAGCAAAGCAAAGGGGAGGCAAAGCAGAAGAAAGGCTAGTGATGATTCTGACAAAGCAAAAAGGCTCTAGTGCCGCCTCTGCTTTCAAAAAGAATAAATGAAAAAAGTAAAGGTGTTTTGCTTCCTGAGTACTTATGGATTAGGACCAACTCATTGCATATTTTTGTGATTAATTCACTTAGAGAAGAAATTGGAGTGCAACAAAATTACTTGGAATTACTATCTAAACACTGCTGATATTTTCTCGTATTTAGAAGAACCTTTAAAAGAAATGCCTGTTAATGTAAGCATCTAACAGGTCTGATATTAAGTCACTTTCAAGTGGTACCCGGCGTGGCTGTTATATACTTTTTCTTTGCATCTGTAAGGTTATGTTCATCCTAAAATAATATCTTCAGGGAAGAAAGAAAAAAAAATAGTTGCAGCTGTTGTGGGTAGCATTATTCCCAATTACCAAACTTTTTTTCATTTACACTCTATGGTCTGAACTGATATGTGCCAGTAATGCCTGCCTAGTAACAACCTCACTCGCTGGCGAGGAGTTCATCCTCATAGATGATCTTGTAGTACTGCAGCTTGATGTGGTACCTGATGTGGTGTCCATGAGAAGGAGAGGATACAAATGAGAGTGATACAAATATGCATTTTTAAAGCTGTAGTTTCTTTATTTTATTTCCACTTCAATGGAAAACCTAAACTTTTCACCCTATCACAGAATACTAAACACCTCCTTCAGGGGAGCCTGTTGAGTTAAATGCACTAAAGGTGCAGTGCCAGGCAAAGAATCCCTTCAAGTTATTAAACAAGACCTTTTCTTTTCAGCTAGTATTAAGGTCACTTTTTTTTTGTCTTTTTATAAAGAGGAAAAAGAAGTCCTCACACAGCAAGCATTCTTGTAGCATAGTCTAAAAGGTCTCTTAGTGCAAATACTTTTACAGCTGTGAGAAGTGGGTGTGTCACTTTCCAGACCATAAAATTAAGTTTTCAGTCATCACAAGGGTTTTCCAGCCTAAACTTAGTTCCTGATACTATCACAGTGCTGAGTTTCCCTGGCACCCAACATAGTATCTAGCACAACTCAGACCCAGTTCTGGTGAGGAACGTGTGTCATTGCCATAGTAAAGACCAGCAGAGACAGCAGTCATTCAAATGAGGAGCAGCTTTGAAATTCAGATACCTTTGGGGGGGTATTTGAAGGAGGTTATTTTAGAGCTTCTGCTTTATGGTGCAAAAATCAAAGAAGTTGGATAAGGTTTGAAGAAGTGTGAAATGAGAAGGACTTTTCCTTTCCTTTTACAAGAAAGGAAGCTGAGTACCAGGATATGCTCATAGTTTACCGGGTTAGCTGCTCATCAAAATGGAAAGTTGTCAGCAATGTAGTGAAAACTCAGCTTACAGTCAGGTTCATTGTGAGGGTGTGCATATAGTGGACCTAATGCCTAATGAAAAGGGAGATCAAAATCAAAACACATTATTAAAAACTTGTTGTCTCATTCATTAATTTTGTCCCTAAATATACTAAAATGTTTAAAAGGAAACACTGAAGTTTGTCAAAAGAGACGTAAACATCTTGGCTTAAAGGAAAGGGAAACTGACACTGGGATTCTTCTTTGAAGGTCTCTTTGGTTGTTCCTGGAGTCAACCCTTTTTTCACTTGCAGTTATTGCTGTTACAAGGACAGCCAGTATACTGCAGTGTGAAGCTCCTGTAACTGATCACGTCCTACGTGAGTCTGGGGAATTCCACATTGCAGTTCACATTATTTGCGCAAGAGATGAGAATGTGGAATATCTTGTCATCCAAGTAATTCCAGGCTGATCTGGTAGTGCAGTTTCTGTCCCAGTACAGCATAGTTTGGGCGACACTGTTTGCCTGTTAAGGTGAAAGGAACAGGGCAAGAGGAAACAAGTTTTTGTAGCCTTTTTCCTTTTGTAGTCTGAGCTTTCTTTGTCACCGCTTGCAGTATAGCTTTTATGCTCCTCCAGGTTTGATAATCCCATGACAGATGGTATTTGTAAGTCTGAACAATATACTTCATGCTTAGTTTTCGTAACAGAAGAGAAATTGGGCCACAGGCCTAGATCAGGTGATAATAAAATTGGGGAATTGAGGAGCGTGTATGACTGGAACAGGGTATATGGTCATAAGAATTTTTTCTTCATCTATATTTCTAATTTTAACAAAGAAAAAATTAAAACGGCTAGAAAGTGGGCTGAAAGACCAGGTGAAAATCAGAATGAAGGCAGTTGAAAGAAGGGGGAGAGAAAATGGAAGTGAAAAACAGAAGCTGAACTAGTGAAAGTCTACAGTTAGAAGGCAGGAGTTTTAAGGCTGGATACACTGATGTTATTTCCTTTTATTTCTATTTTAAAATTATTTTTCCCATGTAATGGTATCCTTGTATTCGAACAAAGTGCTTTACATAGGCGTGTGATTAAGTGTTTTGGTGTGACACATTGAAAGGATGTCTAATAAATACCAGTTTTGGTTGCCTGCCACCTATAACTTCTGTCTTAGCATTCTTTCCCCTTTGTAGGTTCTCTAGAGCTCTGTCAACTCATGTGCCATTAAAAACCTTGCCAAAACTTTACTTTTAGTGACATGAGGTACCCTTTTGCAACTTTCAGATGGCAGGCAATGCTTCTAGGGTTTGATATTAAGAAAATAAGTTTAAAAAAAACCCAAACAACTTGACAGATAAGATCTGGAAGTTGCTGAAATCCAGTGCCAAAAATAGAGAACTAGTGAGTCAGTTTTGTAGAGTCATTTTTGGACTACAGGCATGTGAAGAGCATTGAATCCAATCAGAGGAGATAAGTCAGTGCACTCCATCAAGCAGTACTATGTATCATTCCTTTAACCTAAGAATGGGAATACATTTTGAACCTAGAGTATAGTTTCAAAGTGTAAGCAAATTCAACTCCTTGCTGAAGAAGATATTTTTTAATACAAAAAAAAAGGTGCAAAACTTGTCATCATCTACCACCACAAAAAAAAACCCACCCTGAACAAACAACAAGAAACCCCAACCAACTCAGGGTAAATAACTGCTATGAATAATACTGGAGTGAAGTCCTACTGCAAGCACATCTAATGAGGATTCTTGTTACCCTTCAGAAGTGTCTGAGAGATGAATTAGATTTGCAGTGTTTCTGCTTGGGTCCTGCAAGGTGCTTTCCGCAGGGATGGTCACCCACTGAGGAGCATCACCTGCAGTAGGGGAGGGAGCTTCTGGGAAGGGAGCAGAGAATTCACCCAGCTGAATACCCAGAATGTCCTTCTTGCTTCAGAGAAGGAACTTTGAATTGCCTGACTTTTTACAACAGCAAGCCTAACATGCACACACTTTCTAACTGTATCCAGGCTATAACCATCTGAGAACATCATCTGATAAGGACACAAAAACTAAGTGTGACCTCTGCCTACTGCATTTATCTGATAGCTGGGCATACCTCAGAGTTATCACTCCAGGCACTAAAACCAAATGGCATTCAGAACTTCCAGCTGTTCTTTCTTCTGGTGCGACTGTCTTTCATTTTTATGAGGGAGAAAAGCAAGTGTTTGTACTGGGTATTACTCAGTTTGCGCATGGAAATGGCTGAGAAGAGAGTTACCCAAGTCACTCAACATTCATTCTTTCATGAATGAGTGTTTGTGCTCCTTGTGTATTATGTTACTGTTAAAAAGTTAATCCACCTAATGCCAGCTACAAGTTTATTCACTAGCCCCTATTTACACAGGCAGTAATGTTTTGCAAGATATCCATATGGTTTCTTCAAAAACAGCATTACCAGAAATGCGCTCGGAACTAAAGAATAGTCTAATTTTTGAAAATGTTTTTTTCCCCAAAGATTAACAAAGGTAATCTCACTAGGTGTGCATGCCCATCCTAAGATGTGCTTTCATTGGCCCAGCAGACTCTTCTGTTTCGAAGAGCATGAAGAATAGTATGGCCATTCAACAACACACACTGATAACACAAACATGCTTACGTGTATGGGATTAAGAGATTTAATGTCATTTGGGACAAATTTAAAGTAACCAGAATGGATAAATGACAGCAGTTATAAACTCTGAGACTGAGACTGCTAGTCAAATCATGGAGAAGTAACCCTGAAAAGGTGAGGATGTGGATTTTTTTTATAGGAGAAATGAAATCATTAGAAAAGAAAAACCTCTACATATCAGACAGGAGGGTGTGCAAGGCCAAGGGTAGCCAGCAGAAGTGGCTTTAAAGCAGGAAAGGACTTTCATCTGTCTTTCTTCTTGTGTTTCTTCTTGTAAATCTGAATCAGGAACCCCACACGGTCGTTACACTACTGATGATTTTCAGTCTGAGTGTCCAAGTACAGAGCATATTTCTGAAATTTTTTTGTAGTGAATACAGGAATCTATAAAAAAGACTTTTGGAAGGAGCTTCAGAAACAGCCTAGTATGCAGGATGTGCACCATGGTTCAAAATCAAAGACTGAGGCCAAGCTTTTTGAAGGACTTTCTAGGAGCTTCAAACAGATGGGTGTTTGTAAAGTGTTTTGATTTCCTTAATGTCTCATTTTAAGAAGGCAAGAAGGTAGATTCGGTATTGTGTTTTCTATCCAACAGTTTCCTGTCTCAGGTATCACTCAGAAAACAACCAAAATTTAAGCTAAAGGTGACTGCCTCTTACAGTGTTTTGCCAAATGATCCATGTCTCCCATCTTGATTTGCCTGCAAATTCCAAAGAACTGTTTAAATGATTTTTTTCTGAAACAGATAAAAAGAAGGATTCCCCCTCTGACAAATACTTAAATTTACCTCAAGTATACCTAGTATTGTCTCTCAACAGACCTGTTTGAGTTTATTTTTAATCCCGTTTATTTCTATTTGTATCATCAGGCAGGCTTGATTGGGAGAGCAAGCTGTTTGCACAGGTGTGTATTTGTTTACCTTCCTGGTGGTCTGTGGTGCAAATTCTAAATTTTCCACAGCATTTTAAAATATTACCTATGCTTGTGCAATTGCAACAAGTTTTGTGTGACTGTTTTTACAGTGGAATATCCAAGTAACCCAATTGAACCATCTGTGACAGTCAGGAAGAAAAAAAAACCCCAAAATATGTATAACAGTCCCTTTGACACTAAGATCTGCAGTACTGCCTCACATCCACTTCTACTTTTTAAGATGAGCAAGAGGAGCACAGTTACATTTGAGGGATTTTTGTCTGAGACAGCATATTTAGGCAAGATGACTGGTGCAACCTTGTCAGCAAAACTGCACTTTCAAACAAAATTATATTCCTATTTAAGTGGGTGGGGTTTTGTTGTTGGCTTTTGGTTAGTTTATTTATTTTTTTTTTGCATAGTGCTAAAATTTTGTTAGTCACTGGCCTTTTATGTTTAAAGAGAGCGTGGATTTAAATATAGCACTTTTTAAACCCTAATTAAAATCTTAGAAAAAGGCATGTCTGGAAATAAGGTAACAGTACGCTTATGAGCAATGTCAAACTAAATTCACCTCCTTCATGCAAATGATCGGTTACAGATTTTGTCAACGTATGCTTCTTTTGCACGGAAGTGAGAGAATTGGTGTTACGAAATCCCACTCAAAACACAGTGTTACCTTCCCAGCTGTAGGTCCAGCCAAATGTGCATGCTGATATGATCCTCTTCACATCAGGATAGATCTGACCTTTGGCTGATACTTACTTGGGCAGTTAATCCCAAAGTGGATTTTGGCTGACAGGTGTTTCAGAAGATGACACTTTGATCTTTAAGTATTCATTATATTATTCCACTGTGTAGATGGCCCACGAACCACAGTCTAGAGCCAAAGCAGCAATACCCTGTCAGTATTGAGTTTCACATGGATCTTGTCTTCTGCTGGGTTAATAGTCTGGAGTCTCTTATAAAGCAATTTATCAGCCAACTGGCTTTTCAGCTAGGCAGCTGTCCAAATTCAGAGTTAAAGCTTTGTGTGAAATGACAAGTTTAGTGGCAACTTGCGAAGAACAGCTAAGGTGAAAGAGTATACAATTGCACCTGGGTTCAGTTTAAAGATTGCCAGGATACAAATTCTGGAAAGTGCTATGATGACACTTCTGCTTTCAGTGAAACTGTATTTCTCTGGCTGAAACAGTGATAGACTTTGAGCCCAGTGCTACAGGCACACACAGTTTAAAGGAAGGGAAAGGAGACCTGTCACCACTTCACTCACAGACACAGGAAGCTCGTTCCCTGCAGAACTATGCCTTGGATGTAGTATCCCTCCCTCCTTCTGCACCAGAGGCTCTAGTGGGTGTATATAGCTATTGTTAATGTCTGCACACACATGTCTTAAAGGATTGGAACTCCAACCTTTTATAGTGCAGCGTTTTTTTGTGTTCAGTCTCAGGTTCATTTCTAAGGAGATCCTTGACTGTTGAAAGAAATTGGGTGTTTCTACTGTGGAACATTAAAATGAAATGGAATGGAAATGAATTGAAAGAAAGCCATAAACTATATTTCCTGGACTTCTTTGTAGGACTTTTTTTTTCCCCTCTGAATTCCTTGCAAAATTTTTCACATAGAAAAATGAAGTTAATTTTCACTGAAGTTAAATTGAAGCAGATGTTTAGATGCTTTCCTCCATTTCTCAAGTGGCAACAACGATGAGATTTCTTAATTTTCACTGAAATTTCATCACTTAATTTTGATCCCTGTAATTCTGAGCTTAGGCAAGCATGTTTAATTGCAAATCTTAGTAGTGTAGATTTGTTGTGGGAAATACAGAGTTTGTGAGGAGTTTAAGTGCTGCCTGTTTGCCCCAGAAGAGGAAGTGTACCAAAGCGTATACATATGTCAGGAAGTACAGATTCTGAAAATAGACAGAGGATTCTGTATACCCCCCGAAATTGCTTTCACCTTATCAGCACAGACCTGGGTAACTTGTTGCTCAGACAAGTAGAGTTTGCAGGGTTCTTTAGATTCAAACTGTCAGCTGTTTGTACACAACTTTGCATTAACAAAAAATAGTTTTCTGAGCATGTCAAAAGGTGGCTGCTGAAAGGGGCATGGATCTTTGTAACCTGTGAGTAGGATGGTAGCTCAAAATTGTAGCAGTGTTGTTGCAGTCCTTCCTCCTTCTGTAACCCTGCTCCAAAAAGCTGCAGCAACTGTCAGTTAAGAGCTGAGAGAATGATGCTTTAACTCTTTGTGTCTTCCCAGGTGGTACCATGATAATCTCACCCGGCACGCAGCAGAAGCGCTGCTGCTTTCCAACGGGCAGGATGGCAGCTATCTTTTGAGGAAGAGTAATGAAAGGGAAGATTTGTACTCCCTCTCTGTAAGGTAGGGTATGGGCAGAGTGAATTAATCTAATGCTGCACTTACTCCCATCTTTGTTTCCATGTCTTATGCATTGAGATGACCTACAGATTTTTTCCTAGGGTTCAGACTATTTTGAAGTATATTCCTAATGGTGTAATCCCATTGAACGACATTTGGTTAGGGAAAAAAAAATGGATTGGATTAGACAGTTGCTCTCATTTTTCCAAATTATAAATTAATTTTATTGGTAGAAAACATCATTCTATGGATTGGCTGTAGATTTTCAGTCTGCATGATAAAAATCTGTATGGCAGTTACAAGATCTTAAGAAACAGCTGATGGGAGTAGAGAAGTTTTATGATGAGGATAGTGGCAAACATACCATTTAATAGGTAGCTAGCTTCACTAGTTTCTGAATTGCTGAATAGGAACCACCATCTCTGAAGAATGTTCCAGTGTTTGACTTGATGGTTTTACTCCTCTGCTGTGGGCTAGGGTTCAGTCTTAGCCAGTTATGCATGACTGATTTAGACAGTATTTTGCAGGTGACAGATGTCAGGCCCTTGAAGTCAACTACAGCAATTTACGTGAGTTTAGGACATAACCAATACAGAGCACAGGTAACCTGGCCTGGGTACTTCACTACGAATTACATTTAAAGACTCTCCCAAGAAGGAGAGAAGCCACAGTATTTTAGCAAGACAACACAAAGGACATAGGCATTAGACACACAAGATGGTCCCTGCATGTCAGCTGAGAGGAGGTAACCAACCCTAAATACATTCTTAGCCTTTGGCAACTGTATAAGCAGCCTTAGAGTGAAATTTTAAGCTACTGCTTTCAAGCTCATTTCTGCCTCAGACTGAGCCTCTGAACAGTTGATGGCCACAGCTCAGCTGAATCTCAGTAACTTTTTGAGCTAAAGTCACTTTGAACATTGTAATGATGCTGATTATTTACAACTCAAACAGGAACACAGCATATGCCCTTGAGATTGTGGCTTTCTGCGTATGCAGTACCACAAGCTGTTACAATTTGGAAGTGCAATTTGCACATACCCTGTTCCCCAGAAAAGGCAACTATGAGCTGTTTCGCCCTTTTCTGGCAGAAGGTCAGGAGCAAGTGTGCCTATACATACACTGTTAAAATTATTACCACTATAGGCAGCTGTTTATACAAGGAGCTTTGGGGGCGCCTGACAGATCTGAAGGTGATGTTACAAAATGAGTATTCAGAGTAGCAATGACTGAATTGAGTGCAAGCGTTAGGAAAAAAATAGTGGTATTTGTAAGTAATAGCTTTCCTTAAAAAAAGTAATTTTAAATCAACTGTTGTTTCTCTTGTTAATATTTTTTGACTTTAAAATGTAACTAAGCATTATTTGAGATAATCTACCTCAGACAATTGAAAATATACATTTAAGCTAGTTTTAAAGGGCACTCAGGAATCAATTTATTGTAATAAAAGGAAATTTAAATAGTTGCTCTTTTAATAGGAAACAGAAGTGTTAGTTAATGAAAATAAATTTGCTGCTTTAACAAATTCTAGCCTTAGAAGACCTAGAAAAGTCTACTTCAGGCCTATTCCAATCTTTTGTTCAGCTCTTCATGTAGTTTCAAGAATTACTTGTTGCATTACTATGTGAACTGAATAGCCTAATCTGGAGTTTGATCTTTTATTGTGTTACATCAGTTTTTGGTGGTACTGCTCCCTTAATACTGATTTTGATTTTAAAATGTTTATTTTCTGTGTTTGTTTAATTTTACGTTTTTCTTTCAATTTTTTCACTAATATTAAAACTTAATTTTAGAATAAGTAATTCAGTTTTGTTCTGATACATTTTTGTGGAAAGGATAAATTTAGCAATTCTGACTGTCACTTTCTTTCTCTCCTAAAATGTCTTCTGTAGCTTTTACTTTACTTTTTGCCTCTGCCTCACGAGGAACTTTAGTCATTATTATAGTTTTGGATTTTCTTAAAGGAAAAACTGCTTAGACATCCCTTTAGGGTTTTATTGACAGCTGTAGGAAGGGAGAGCACATATTGCCCGAAGTCTGCTCCCCCAGTGAAATTAGCCAATTTGAAAAGGAAGTAGGAAGCAGAGTAGAAGTTGCTCTCATTGCAACATTATATTTCTTATGAAATTAGAGGAAAAGACGGAAAATTCTGTCATTGCAGCAGAGTTACAGCAGCTCTGTGCTGGTAAGCTACATTTGTACTTGGCTTGTTGCAGGCATTGTGCCCCAGCTGACTGTAGCGCAAAAATGTTGGAGGCCAATAGAGACACGTTCTACAATATCATGAATACTGTTCAGAGATGAATATTTAAATACCTAGTGATTGAAATCATAATCTTCAGTGGAAGTGTCAGTAAACAATGGAAAAGACGCTATAAATCTCTTTCTTTGCTCTATTTTCAATATATTTCCTATATAAGTTTTTGCTCAAACAAAGTTTACCCTGAACTATTTTGAGTGCTAGTAACATTAACAAAAGTAACTTTTTCACTGCAGAAATACTTTCATTAAGTGCTTCACTTTCTTTTGAGTCAAAATAATTGCCCATCCAGGAAGTGAGGCCTTGCACACTTCTCTAATACCATCAGGTTTCACAAACAAATGCTGTTACTTCCCCTATGGCCAAAGGACCCTAGTTCATGTTTGATAGTGCCCATCACAGAGGAACCATTCATCCAAATAGAGACAAAGCAGACAAATTATAAAGCCTTAGGTATTTAAAAGTAGGTTATTAAACCCCTCTGTGGGTGCAAAAAGTAGTCAGCTTATTTTTGAAAGAGAAACAGAAGATATTTTAAATGAGATTATGATGCTTCCCGAAAAGTAAGACACGTCCCAAGTAATATCAAGACTAAAGCCAGTAAGTGAAAGGATATAATTGTTTTTAGGCAGAAGGCTTGAAATCTCTTTTATGAGTATTTTTACTGATGCAAGAGTTAAATTAAGGGTTAAGTCACTTGGCCTTTCTAGGCTTTCATCATCTCATATCTGTAAAGCAGCAATTCAAATCCGATTCTTGGATGTGTTGAGTATTAGTGGGGAAAGTAATGGCAGTAGTATTACTGCTAGGACAATGAATGTCAGCCTGTGCTCTAGGCCAGATTTCCTGTAGTGAAAGCTGCTATTTAAGGATTGTGTATCCCAAAAGCCTCTGGCATTTATGCCTTGACAAATTTTCTTTTTTTATTTTAGGGGAAAAGATTCTGTGAAACACTTCCATGTTGAATATACAGGAACTTCATTCAAATTTGGGTTTAATGAATTTTCTAGCTTGAAGGAATTGGTCATGCATTTTGCCAATCAGCCTTTAATTGGAAGTGAAACAGGTAAGGAGAGCCATATGTTTGTATGAATACATTTGTAGTCATGCTTCAAACAGATTTAAGTAAAAGGAGCTTCCAATGTGTTAGCAAGTAGACCTACTGCTGAAGTGTTCCTCTTCATAAATTAACATTTGTATTACCCTCAGGTATCTAAAATGTTCCACTTCAAAAAAATCTTTCAAGTACTCTGGAGGTAAACCATATGTAAGTTTGCTGGGTTTTTGCTAACCAGGGACATGAGCTCCTTTTGATTTCTCAGAGGATGAAGTGTTTCAAAATGTGCCTGTAGTGGAAGGAATGGAACATTCTCAAAAAGGGCATTTAGTGAGCAAATAAATATTCATCTGTGAAGCTGAAATCCCCCTATAAGAATAAATGGAAAAGGGACTTGAAATTGTTTACCTTCACTATTCTTCATCTAAGGAAAAAGTCTGCAGTGTTATGTTCCTCTTTCCTGTAGGGAACGTGGCCTGAACCAGCTCTCCTGTCTACAGTGCATCAGCCTGCTGATGCCATCTGCCATCACAGTGATTTGTCTTGCTTTTAAGAAAGAAAAAGCACAGGCTTCTTTAACAGACAATGTGCTGCCTGAATTAAAGCTCAAAAGATTAAACTCGTTTCCTACAAGTGAGTTGAACACGACTAGACTAGAACCCCTGGAGAAACAGATTCGTAATATCATAATAATGACAGTTTTAGGTTTTTCTTTAAACGTAAGAGATGAAGATGTGTCAGTACAAGATAGTGCCAAAAACTCCAGTATCCTCTGTAGAAAGTGTATGCAAATAACTCAGAGTAGTACTAGTTATATATGCAAGAGACCAGTTAAATGGTAGTTGGCACATGCCATAACTGCAATATGTCACCAGTGCTCTTTTAATGCAGACATTAAATTCAAGGGTTGCTTTGCAAATTTCTTCCCCCCAAGAAAAATAAGTTGTACACTCAATATAGCACTAGTATCTTCCAAAGCATTCTCTTTTTAAATTGCTTTGAAGAGTGGTTTGAACACAGAGTTCCTACTTATATCCTCTGTGCCAGTAAGCTATTTTTCCTGTGCAATCAGATATGCATCAACAGGCCTAACTCCGTAAAAATTTCGGATGACATACAAAACTTGTATTGACCCATTCCTCATTCCTTCACTGCACATGTTACACACATTAGTAAGCAAGGCATTGGTGATACGTGATCTCTGTGGATGGGATCAAAACTGCTGAATGATGGGCTCACTTGTCACTTCAAGGCTTCCTAATCAGATTCTGCTGGCTCTGTGAAACCTCCACGTTGGATGTGCTACAGAATAAAAAAAAAATAGATAAACTTGAACATCACATTAAGAAACATTCCACCTTACCTTACCTTGGATAACAGTAGAGAAGAAGAGAGTTTTAGCACTCAGGCAATGTTCCTTCAGATACAGGTGTCAAAGTTGTCCTGGATGGTAACCAGTTTCTGTCAAAAATGGGGTAAGGGCTCATCGGTGTCAACTCTAAGCCACACCTCAGTGTGGCAGAATGTCTATCCCAGGCCCGCTGCAGGTTGGCAGAAGGGCCAGGAAGAGAGTGATTTCGTAGGGAACACTTTCAGTGAAAAGCAGCAAGTGACCTTTAGGTCAGACATTAGTAGAAAGTAGTTGGACCAGTTTTTCTTATTCCTTGTTATACTTGCAAGCAATTTTCTATAGAAACACTTTGAGATCAGGAATGAAAGAGTAAAGGAAGACAGCATTTTTCTTCTCCTTGCTTTTGAACAGGATTTTATACGACAGAGACGCATGAAATAGGATGTGTGATGGTTTCCACTATCTTCCACCTAAGTTTGTCTCACAGGAGCTAGTTTTGTGTCTGAAGAGGCTCACCAGACTCTCTTTGATCAGTACTTTAACACAGAGGCCTACACCCATGCAAACTGGTCCATGGAGTGCAGTGGTTCTTTTGTACTGGGACAGCTGCAGGTTTGTGCTTCAAGCCCAACCATCCTTGTCCGTATTACAGCTTAATTTGCCATCATCTACTTCTCTGAAGTGCAATGTGTACACTTCCTTCTAAACTACAGATAACTATAAGGAATGTGGGGCTACTGTGTTTTTTGAGATGGTTTATTGAACAGGCAAGATGGATCTTCTTTCAAAGTAACAAGGTCAACATGTTATTCTTACCTGTTCGCTTTGTTTATCAGTTTTTAACTAAATGATTTTGAAAACATGTAAAAATGTAGCCGGTAATTAGCCAGACCAGAAACCCAGTCATTTAAAGCTAACATTTCTAACAAGGGGACTAATTTCATTCTTCTGTAGAAATGGATACCATACATAAACACAAAAGGAGAATCTTGCTCCAGTGCAGCTTTTACTAGTTCTTGTGTATAGTCACTTGATGATTCTCTACAAGTATCTTTTGTGGAGAAAAAAAAAGCCACAGAGAACTTACTCAAAAATAAATACTGTATAAAATGTTAAATTAGACCTTCCAGTTCTGCAGTGGGGCTCTTTATCCATGGTGTACAGATGATGGTACTCTGATTCTATGCAACAGCTTAAGAGTAGTTTCCGTAGAATGGTGATGGGTGTGTTCTCAATTTCATTTTAAATGATAAAGCATTATTTTTCTGCAAGACCAGAGAGACAAACTAATTTTGACTTTTCATTTACGGCAAGTTGCATATATCACATTTGCATACACCCCCTGTGCCTCTGAACAGATTTCAGTTGGTTACTTCAAATATAAGTTTTCCACTTCACTTTTTAGCCTTTCCCATTACAAAATTACTAAATTACTCATTCACTTGTAGGTTTCAAGTCCAAGTTCTTACCAATTCTAGCATCTCTTCTCTTTAAGACCTGCAATATCAGCATAAAATGCAAATGGAGCAGCACTTGGTATGCTGTGACATTATTTTTAAAGAATGAAGTGAGATCACATAGCAGTTACTATTTTAAGCAAGTTCTTCACTATTTTGAATAGTGTATTAAATTCACTATTGAGAATGCAGCTTTTTTTTTTTCAGGGAAAGTGCAATAAATGTGACCCTATTTAGAGAACAAAGAATGGCCATAATCAAAACATTTAACTGGAAAGAGTTACAGTAAAAACAGTTAAAGGCGATGGTAACATGGGCTTCTTGGTAGGAAGTCTGTATTCGAAGCTCTGACAGATTAAGTGGTTGAACCAGCAAGCAGTGGGTTGTTTGGCAAAACCAATGACTGTTATGGCCTCCTATCCTTCCTACCCAGCCAGCCAGCCTCCTTTGCAGGAAGGGAATTTAATGGGTCAAGTGATCCCTGCAAGCATTAATAAGTTCAAAAGTTTTGAAAAGGGACCATATATTTACAGTTTTCACAGTTGCATTTATAATTTTAGGAAAAGGTAAAGTTAATCATTCCACAAACAGGTAGCTACTGGCAATTATTTTTTTGAATGGTCCTGCCAGATGAATTACTCCTGCTCTTTTTCTCTCCAGGAACCTTAATTGTATTAAAGCATCCCTACCCACGGCAAGTGGAAGAACCTTCCATTTATGAATCCGTCCGAGTTCACACTGCAATGCAGACGGGAAGGACAGAAAGTGATCTTGTTCCAAATGCTCCCTCAGTAAGTTGTGTTCTGGTAGGAGGGTTGCTTCTGGCCTGAGTGTAGCATGATTGCTGGAGGGAGCTATGGAGTAAGACAAGTAATTCATCCCTTTATGGGTTTGTAAATGCAGGAAGTCTTTGCCAACCAAGGTAAAACAAACACAGACTTGCTAAGTAAGGTCCCATAACAAACACTTTTATAATGTTGCCACTGAAACCTTCAGTGTCACTGGGAAAACATTATCTGCAGCTGACCTAACTGAGTCTGACCATCCAAACAAAGAATATGTGAAAAATTGTCATTGTCCTGTTATCTTCCTTTTAGAATGCCATCTTAGCAATAACATTATCATGAATTAAAAAAACAACAAAAAAATCATCATATCCATTTGGGCCACCCGTTCTGACATCTGAGACTCACTTGGACAGTAATTAGAGGTTCTAAATCCTCTGTAACTCATATCTAAGTGAGACGGGTGGTTTCTCGAGAACAGTTTGCTCAGAAGAGAGAGGAAGGTATTTTAGTTATATACTATATTTTTTTGAGAAAAAGTTGATAAAAGAACAACTTCTGATGTGTCTCACAACCAACCCTTCATGGCCAAGTTACACTTTAATCTCCAAAGAAGCTTGACTTCCACATACCACAAATAAAAAGACAATATTTTTTCAAGAACAAGTAGTAACTTGGCAAGAATTTGATTTTCAGAGGTCTGCAGTCTCGCAGGTCCCTACACAGAATTTCAGGATCTGAGAAGCCATAAGGTCCAAGTGCCACTCATGATACCAGAGAAATAGCTCAAAAATCAATTTTTCAAAAAACACATTGAACATAACAGGTTTTTCTTCTCAAGCTTGTGGTTGTTTGAGAGAAGAGAATGCCACAGTAAAACAGTACTTTCCCCAGTTTGCATTTGAGGAGCATTTCTGTGGATAATTTCACTGTCAGTTGAACCCCACGTGCTTTGGGTTACAACATGTACTGAGTCAGAAACATCTAACTTTACTACATAAACTATAACTGCAACTATTTTGCTGTGCTTGGTTCAGAAGATGCAGGCCAGTGGGTCACTGAGGGAGGCACGGTCTAGGTGGTTACCTTCAGAGCCAGCACAGGTCCATGTTTACCCTAGTGGTGGATTGAGCTGTCTGAGGGGAGCATTGGAGTGAGGAAAAGGCAAGTGGCTACAGGGAGTTTCCCTAAGAACAGGTTGCTCTTCCTTCTTCTGGATGTAGGCAAACAGGGGAATGTGGGAAATAGAAGCAGAGCTCAATCTCTAACCCTGATCCCTTTCCTTATTACTTCACAGCTTGGTACAAAAGAAGGGTATTTGGTAAAACAAGGCAAAATAGTTAAGGTAAGGAAAACTCTTACTGCTGTTTTCTACTCTGATCACCCACAGAACCTACAGACAACGTGGAGCTGAAATAGCTCTACTTGCATTCCCCTGCAGAGAGGAACAATTTGTGTTTTGACCAACAACAGAGCATGACTGTAAAACAGAGCAAGTCAACAGCTTTAAAACGTTTTTCTTTCCTAAGAAGCATTAGACTAAATTCACCCAAGACAGTTACCATCCATTCTTGATCTTTCAGAACTGGAAGACAAGGTGGTTTACACTTCATAGGAATGAACTTAAGTATTTCAAAGACCAGACAGTAAGTAGCAAACACCAGTTTTACTCTTTAAACCTCTACAGACGCAGCTGCAGCCTCCTTGTATCTCTGGCTTCTCGCATCTGTATCACAGCTTCCCAAGCTAAAGCTTCTCATACTGTCAGAGGGGTCAAACTTTTCAAGTAAAGTCAGAGTTTTGCTGATGACTTCAACAAGAGAAAATAAGTTTTACAGCTGGAAAACATTTATTGTGTTCTGTCAGTCTTAGCTACTAGATAGGGTTGTTGTTTACAGTGGTTTTTTTCATAGAATCACAGAATGGTTTGGCTCAGAAGGGACCTCAAAGATCATCTCCTTCCAACCCCTCACTGTAGGCAGGGACACCTTCCACTAGACCAGGTTGCTCAGAGCCCCATCCAGCCTGGCCTTGAACATATTGTTGGGTTGCTTTCTTAAGAGGATTTTAAGCTACCAGCACTACACAGCTTTTATTGGTAGCTTAGACACACAACCTAACAGATAGCGTGCTATCCAAATAGTTCTAAAAATACTAGTAGTATGTTTCGCATTTTTTTATTTCGTCCTATTATTTCAAGTGCTCTTACATAGAAAAAGTATACATAGAAAACCATTCATTAAAAAATTCCATCTGACAAAGATTAACCTGCAGCATCTGGGAAAAGTATTGTGTCCTTACAGTTGGTGCTCCCTTTCTATCTTAATCTGAGTAAAGATAAGAAACACCTCTAGAGTTTCTTTGCCCTTACAATGCCTCCAGTCCAGGTTCCTTCATTAACGCAGCCAAACTGTTTACCTCTGCACCTCTGCCAAGACTTGTTTCAAGTCTCTAACAGATTTTTATGCAACAGCAGACACAACTGCCTTCTCTCACCAAGCATTACAATTTATAAACAGTTATGGTTTTGCTTTGCTTTCCATCAGTTTTCATTTCAGTTCAAGCCAACTTGAATGAAGTTTGCAGGATAACGTTTCAAGAGGCAGCACTCTATTAGTGACTTAGCAGGCAAGAAGGTATCTTTGTCAGGAATATGGCCTCCTTCCCAGCAGCAGGCCTGGTGTCTCCTGGCACTCCTGTTGTTGCTGTGGGGTTGCAGATACCTACAGGCGAGCAGCTTGCAGCTAGTCCTAGGATGACATTTGGTAGCACACCACAGTACAAGTGGCTTCCCTCTAGTGAAGCTTATAACTACTAGCCACTGTGCCAACAAAAAATGTAAGGAAAGAAGAGAAAGGAACAGACACCTCTATACACCTGATGAAGGACTATGGGAACAGCTAAGGGTGTTTGGGCAGAAAGCAAGGTGGTTTTCTGGTTAAGCTGCCTCTTCGAGGTCTTAACACTGTGAGGCTGAAACAAAGCAAGGAAGAACTCTCACACCTAGGGAGAATGAAACTCTTAAGGGAGATGGATTGCAGTTATACACAGACATTCTATGTCCCTGCATCTGTACACTCCTGGTCTTGTCCAAAGAAACTAATATGTGTGTGTATATATGTGTGTGTATATATATGTGTGTGTGTGTGTGTGTGTGTGTGTGTATACACACACGCATACACACACACTGCTCAGGCAGCCAGACCCATCACTTCTGTTGCAAACACTGCTTTAGCTCTGCTTCTGCATTTTTCCTTACCCAGCTACATCCTTTTAAGGCACTTAGGAATTAATTAAATCTCCAACAGCTGGCTAGGTCTGGTAAGACCTATACCCATCCCTTTGTCTCTATAAACCTTAGTTGGAAGTGATACCAGATTTGCTGCTGTGTCAGTTACATTATAAGGCATCAGCCAAATCTTCAGCAGTCTGCATCTAGCTCAAACATTCCTGAACTAGAGATCTCCTCTAGTTGTTTGTCCAGATCTGAACTGTCCTGGGTTTTTTATATTTAGATCAATTCATATGATAATACTGATGTTACATTTGCTAGTTTGGATTTATGGTGTTACAACTATTGTATCTATGCCTGGAAAAATCTAGTAAAGGTCTAGATGCACTGAAGATGAACTGAGATAGCCTTATCTTCTATTTTCATATGTTCCCATTTTAAAAACATTTTATTTTCAAGGCCACAGAACCAATTCGGGCACTTGACTTAACTGAATGCTCAGCTGTGCAATTTGACTATTCCCAGGAAAGAGTCAATTGTTTCTGGTAAGCTGCAGTACTTTGTTCATCTTGCTGGGAAGGTCAAAATAGAAAGGGAAGTTAGAAATGTAAAAACTGGGTGCTTCTGAAAGGTCCCTTGTTGGTTGTGGCCCTGCTGATCCTCTAAGTCATGAGTCTCCTTCTGTCAGCCAACCTCTTGTCAGTCCTGCATGGTTTGCCAAATTACTGCTGGCAAAAGGTGGGCCTACGTGTAGTGGGCATTTCTTTTTCTAATTCTGTAAGCCTGTATAACCATCTCCTAGACCCATGGATCTTGGGTTCAGACATTACTACAGGTCACATGGTAACCACTTCTGTGCCCAGACGAGGGTCTTTTATCCCCATGGACCTAGGATAGCATCTCCCTGAGCTGTAAATGACTGTCAGCCATTCCTGGTTAACCTCCCTCCTGATGACTAAGTGGTAGCACAGCCTTCCTGCCCGGCTCTGTCTGACCAACTGTTGGCACAGGCCAGCTGGGCTCAGTTTTAGGAAAAACTCCCAGTTGTTTTAGCAATCTAAGAATGTTCTGTTTTCTTACAGTTTAGTGTTCCCACTAAGGACATACTACCTGTGCGCAAAAACTGGAATAGAAGCTGATGAGTGGATTAAAATACTGCGATGGAAACTGGTAAGGGATGTGCAGTTACGTGGCAGGACGGCTTAGGCAGCAGCACCCTTGGTACTGCCAATCATAAACCCCCCAGTACTGTAGCACCCAAATATTACAGTTCTCAGCACCTGCAACAGGGTTTTCCCCACCACAGAGGGGAATATTTGTTCTGGCTTCCAGGCCAACTAGACTGGAATACGTAGTTTTCACATAATCACAAAATCAATTAGGTTGGAAAAGACCTCTGAGATCATTGAGTCCAACCATTGACAGATGGCCACCTTGTCAATTAGACCATGGCATTGAGTGCCACTTCCAGTCTCTTCTTAAATACCTCCAAGGATGGTGCCTCTGTCACCTCCTTGGGCAACGCATTCCAATATCTTATCAACCTTTCTGTGAAGAAATTCCTCCTCATGTCCGACCTAAACCTCCTCTAGTGCAGCTTGAGGCCATTTCTTCTTGTCCATCACTAGTTGCCTGGGAGAAGAGGCTGACCCCTCCTTTCAGGTATATGTAGAGAGCAGTAAGGTCTCCCCTGAGCCTCTTCTTCTCCAGGCTGAACACGCCCAGCTCCCTCAGCAGCAACTCATAAGACTGTTGCCCTTCTCTGCTGGAGTCACTCCAGTACCTCAATGATCTCCCTAAATAGAGGGGCCCAGAACCGGACACAGTGCTTGAGGTGTGGCCTTACCAGTGCTGAGTACAGGGGGAAGCGCCAAGGACAGGGGCACAATGTATATGCTTGCAAACCCACTGTCACGTTTTTAGGATGCAACTTTTAATATGCATGCTAATTAGGAAGAAAAAATTACTTCCATCTTTAAGGATGTCATTATGTGGTTGGTAAACATTATGGATCATCAGCACAGACCACACATGTTGAGTCATGAAGGAAGCAATGAGAAGAAAATGTAAAGGCTTGAAAGCACTACTTCCTAAGAAATGTCAGTAATCGGGTTGGTCATACTCACCCACATCCGCACGCGTGCCGACAAACAGTAATGGGTTGTCTTTCTGTTCCAGTCACAAATACGGAAGCAGCTGGAGGAGCGCAACGCCACCCTCAGTTCCTAGCTGTGCCACCAGCACTGCTCCGTTGACAGGAATTGCCTCTCTGCCAAGGGAAGGCAGTGCTTACTAGGAGACAGTTTCACATCTCACGGTGGGTGCGTGCCTGCCTGTGCGCCCGCACACAGACCTTCACCCAGCTCTGCACACAAAGGATCCCCACAGCCGAGTGCTCCCCAGCTGCGGAATCACGCATGGAGACTGCTGCAAAACAAGTGTTGGTTTGATATGGTGTATGCCTGTAATGCACTTAATTCAAACACCTGTTAACTCATCACAGAAGTAGTCACTGTTGAAAACTTTTGTGGTTATTCAGAGCACTCTTGATAATTTATTGCAAGCTCCATCACAACTAACCATCAGTATCACATTCTGTAACCTTGAGCCTGTTATTTAAAACGAGTCATTCCTGGAAATATTCAGTATCTCTTTTTTATTACCTATTTAGGCTTTAAACCAAAAGAAAAACGACAGAGGTAATTACATTTTTGTAAATAGTATCTATGTTGTAATCCAGAGAATATTTCAAGGCCCTTTTCAAAGTGACAGATGACTTAGTTCTGGTCAGATATGTTTTTATATGGTTTAGATTTATACCACAATGATGGCTACAAGTGAATGCTTGTTTCAAATAGGTAATGGTGAGCAGCATCATGTAGGCACGCTTGTTTACAAACCAGGGTTACAAGAAACAGGAAGCTGTTTCCGGGCAGTCACAGGACAGAGGTGCCACAGGACCCCAAGGCTGGGTGACAGGGCTCTGCAGAAAGCTTTGCCTGTAGAAGCCACCAGCGTTGTTAGCAGCATTAAGAGTCAGGCTCATTACAGTCCCCCTTGAAAATGCACCAGGCTTTGTATTTTTTTCATCACGACAAAATGCAGATTTTGGGTTTTTTTCCTCAAAACAAGATTTTGACCAGAACTGTGTTTAGAATTAAGCACTGCTTGCTTTATATTGAATAAGGAGCACCATGTATGCTAAAAATACAAATTTAACAGAATACATCTTCTACATAACCTGATATAAATTTACATCTGTATTGTGCAAGACTCATATACATTTAACAGTGTTGTGGCTCACTACAGGGACAAAAAGTGGAAGCCCAGGACTTTGGTGCTGTACTCAAAATAGATATTACGTTTTGGAAGAAAAGCTTGACACACTGGCGAGGCCCAAGACCACTTGGCCTGACCTCATTGGCTGACCCAGCTGCAAGATTCCCTGAGCAATCCCGAGTCTCCTGGAGGGGTAGGGAAAGAGCAGGGAAGCCCTGTCTCCCTGCATAACAGACAAATTTATGCTGAAACAGCACACACAAAGCTCCCACTATGCAAACACTGCAGTCTGTGTTGAGCATTGCTCACGCAGCAGGTCAGTGTTATGTAACTGCCTTTACTGTGAGAAGACTGCAGAAGAGGAAGATTAAAACACACTGGAAGAAAGAAAATCTAGATTTGGACATAGGAATAGCATTTTATTGCAACTTAGAAATTCAAAATACTTGTAAATATTTTTATACAGACTGTTTTCTGAATAAAATGTCATTATAAAACTAGCACAGGTATTTGTCTTCCTGTACTGTATCGTTAAAGCTTTGTCCTCTTTTTTCCCTTAAAGAAGTGGTTTAACAAACCGGCATCTTCCATTTAGCTTGAAAACCTTTGCTGAGTTTGTGTGAGAGGCAGCGTAAGGGGAAGAGAGAGATGATTTTCTCCAGCAGCATCACTGTTCTGGGAAAATAGCTTGGAAATGGAGTTTGATGTGTAACCACAAAAGCAGCCTTCCCTTTTTCACACGGACAGCTGCTTTACAAAACATTAGAAACACGTTCAGCACATGGGTGTCACAAACTGAAGCCAGTAAAAGAAACAGCACTCAGCTGGCCTTGGAAGCCACCACAGGCAGACGAGCAGCAGGAGTAGGCCTTCAATGGAACACAAATGAACTTTGACAGAAATACAGAGACACCCTGGGGCTCAATTTCCAGCTGCTTCTGTAAAGATCAGCAACAAAAGTCCCATTCCAGCTCAGTTTAAATGGCAAAGGGTTGACTGACAATCTGTAGTCTCTGGGAGAGCTTCTGAGCCAAGAATTCCCAGTGCTCATTTCCAGCTCCACCATTTCCCCCTATCATGCCTGATGCTGCAGGTCAACGAGGTGTAAACAAGGGGCTGTAGCACCCCGTTTCCCAGCCTGAGGCAGAGACTTGTCCAGAGCTCTCCCTCAGACCTGCAGTGCTTGGCAGTTATCACAAGGGGAATGTGGGAGGGAACAAGGGGGTGGCAAAGAGCACAGGATTGATCCCCACCAACGGGATCTCTGCACTGGCACAGGACTCTCTATATTTACTGCCCAAGTGAGAGACACACAGGTTAGCTTTCAACCTGTAAACTTCTGGATTTTGTGCATTTACAATCAAGAGACCCGTTCTCAGCACAGGAAAGCTGATGTGCTGTGGGGTATTATGGTGCAACAGAAGAGTGGACCAGGCTCTGTCATTTAAAAATACTGTATTTTATTTATATTTATTTACTTATGAAAACCTAAGGGTAAATGAGCTGAGAGTGTCACCAGTGATGAAGCCACACAAAGACTGAGACATGAGATCTTCACAACCATATTACACAAAAAAACCTAGGAAGAAGTGAGACATGGTTTGGGTGCTCTCAGCTGGGCATCAGGAAACCCCCCAGAGCGACAGCTTCCATAGAAACAGCTTTCTTAGTGGAAGCAGGATGCAGCTAGCATCCAGATTAGTAGCACACCCTTGCCAAAGCATCACCCGTGTAAGAAAGCCGGGATATTTATTGATTGTACCGACATGTCACTGCTAATAAACCTGCTCTCCCAATATGCTTTCAACCACATCCTTGATCTGCTCTCCAACGTGTAGCGGTGGCCGGCCTGAGGATACACCCTGCTGTGTGCCTGGTTCCCTGTAAAGCAAAGGATCTGTGGGTTGCTCGTCTGAGCCAACAGCTTTGCGCCGATCTGGCTCAGCTAAACTCCATGGGAGCTATTTTGGTGGTCTCTCCAGTACTGCACAATACAAGAAGCACGGCCTAAAGTAACATCCACCTACAACACACTAGTAGATCATTTCAGATTCAGTACTATGTACAATTTACTCTTACTTAGTATACTAAGGAGCTGTGATATTTCTTCTGAGACGTGTTATTTGACTGAAAATTATTGAATCCTTCTGTCCACTGGGCTGCAGAGGAATGCTGCACTCTGGCTATACCATCAGGTTAAGAAACTTCAACAACCTGCCTCAGTTCTTCAAAGAGGGGCGTGAGCTCCTTCTCTAAACTTACAATCAGCCCTGGAAAGAGAGAAGAGACAGAACAGTCCATCAGACAACATCAATGAGAAGCCTCTCTCTAAAGCCTGCAGCTCCCTCCCCCTCCCAAGTCAAAGGCAGTGTTTTTCAAAACATGAAATGTTTTACTTGAGCTGCTCACTCTCCATGGGAACAGTGTGCAGCACCCCCAGGCAGGGGGCCTGCAGCCCCCACCACTAGCAGAGGCACACCCCACACAGTGCAGCTCTCCCCCACTATCGCCTTGCTGCTTCCCACAGCTACCAGGGCCCAAACAGCTGTGCCAAAATCCAGTGCCTTCTGCTCATATTCATCAGCCAATGCCATCATGAGCAAGGCCAGGTGCCTGGCTGAAGGAATTCCCAACCCCACAGAACTGAGAAGACACAGCTGTACATTACTGCAAAATGTTAACCTGGACGACAGAAAGAGACCGAACAACTGGTTTGTACAGCAGTTATTGCCAGGATAGCAAACACTCTCAGGTAGCAAGAGTAAGGTTAGTCACAGGAGAAACATGCTTCTAGAAGAATAACTTCAGCAAGTCACCTAAAATCTCTGAATTTTTACTCACACCTTTCCCTTCTCACCTTCCCAATATGCTGACAAAATTCACAGGAGGAACAAAGTTAATACAGTTTGAAGTGAATTTAGGTAATTTATTTTCAATTACTTAAATTCCTGGGCCTTAAAAGACTGCAATATTTAAAATGCATGTGAAGACATACCGGTATTGGCATTGCTGCTAGCAATGAAACTCACTACCAAAGGCAAGCGATTGAACTGCACCACCTGCAAGGAGAGAGAACAGTGCTCAGACAAAAGCTAACACATGTTGGACGTTGGAGCTCTGACACAAATTCTTTTGGAAAAAAGCAGCCTTCTCAGTTTAAAGGACAAGCAGGAGCGAGAGCCACAGGGATGACTTTTCAGTTAATCTGTTTCTCAAGATTAATGGTTAAAAACACCAACAGAACTTACACCACAGTACAGGGAGCTGCATGGGAAAAGCCTGGTACTTCCCTCCCCCTTCATGTTCTACAGTGTGTTGTCCACCAGAAGCCAAATTCAGCTGCACATGCTGCAGAGTACACCATGGAGGCCACGCTCTCCAGAGGAAACAAGAGGGCAGGCAGGTTTATCATTTTAAAATACTGTTTCCTATACAGAAGTATCTCTTCTTCCATTAATAGGGAACTGGAACCTTGGGCATAACAATAAGCTACAGCATCAAGGGAATCAAAGCAGCGTACTCCATGCGTGTAAAATAACTCATTGACCCATTTATTATCCAAACAAAGCTTGATACACTGTAGGCTAAACTGTCTGTCAGTTTACTGCAGTCATAACAAAAAGCTCTCAGGACCACTGGAATTTGAGAAGGAGCAGAAACAAAGCAGGTGAGGGACTACACAAATATCAGTTTGTGAACAAAGAGTGTAGTATTTCAAAACTTTCTCACCTCAAAGTCACACTGGTAGCAAGATTAGCCATGAAGGAGGCTGCATGTGCTTAATTAACTTTAGGTGTCACTAATTACAAACAAATATTTTTTATAAAGAGAACATAAACTCTTCATAACAGATTCTGAAGGCCATATGAGTAGTATCTGCTGCAAATTCATGATTGCTACCTGTACAGAAAACTTTCCCATTTTCAGTGAGTAAATCTCAGAACCACAATTACTTCAACAGCAGCCAAATGGATACAAAAGTTTAAACCACTCTCTCTCTCTTGCTCAATATAGAAACAGCTCAGGTCACTAAGGACAAAAGCATACTCAAGTTACTCACCTGGTATGTATTGTAGTAGCAGATGATACTTTTGTTTTTAGAAAGTCCTAATTTACTGCCCTGATCTGTGGCAAGGGCAAAGGTGGACAGAAAGCCAGGTCGCAGTGCATGTTCTGGAGCATTATCATTGGCAACTGGAACAAAACGAGAAAATTCTTATCTTTACATGGCATCTCTGACTGCATCCCAAGCCCTTATCCAGGGCAGTGCTCTGCCAAAAGCAGATCTGCTGCTGGGGAACACACAGCACATCTTAGGTGCTTCCACAATTAGCACAAGACAATCTTCATGAGCAATACATCCTTTAATGCTCTGTATGTGATGAAAGCTCATTACACCAAGCATCGTTCCTGGTGTACCTAAGAAACAGTCTTTTCTTTTAGGATGCAGAGCCTGTGCTGATGCTCTTTGGGTTCCGTGTCCCTCATTGTCTGCACCCATTCCAGCCTTTTAATTGATTACTGCAACACAGTCACTTGAGTGTGAACAGGTGAAGATGTGCGAGTTCTGCTGGGTGTTTAAATACTTTTGCGGATTAAAAAAAAAAAAATCTGCAGTACTTGAACCTTTGTATCTTTAAACGAGCGTACTCACAACATAAAAGCATTCTGAACAAGAAATGCAGAAGATAAAAACTACAGTACCAAAAAGCAAACTAAATATATGTAACAGCTGGATGCAACTGCTTCCGAGCACAGACCAGCCCAGTCAGCAAATACTGCTAAGCTCTCTCTAGTACTCAGTATCAATCAGCCTGCGAGTGACTTGAAGATATAAGGACCTTATAGCATTCCAAACCCCTTTCACCAAGGAAAACTTCCATGGACTGCAACTACTGAGGACACAAACAAAAGGATGCATTTAAAGAGGTACATAATCAATTACTGAACTTGAAATAAAAGTTGAATTTAATTCTTCCATTTGGTATATTCAGGTATTTGGCATAACCAGAGGAGATTCTGCTGTACTTCTCCACCCCCTGCTGTTCAATCAGGATTTCACCTGTAGGGTACAGCAAGAAGCTGAAGTTACCTTTGATAACAGGCACACCATCTCTGTCTGAGACCACAATAGCATGAAGACCTTCAACACTGCAAAAAAAAAGAAAAGAAGAATGACGAAGAGACACCATTTTAAAACCACAGTAATTAGTAGCAAAGATTTTTTTCTGAACAGATGTGCAAGGAAGGGGGAAAACATGTTAAAAATTGATGCCTTCAGTAATTTAATACTTGTTCTGTGTAGTTCAGACAGTACAGTTCTGGTGCTCCCAATAATATGCAGGACATATAACTGCTGGAGCAAGCCCAGAGGAAGGCCACAAAGTTGATAAGGGGACAGGAGGAAGTTGGGGCTGTTCAGCCTAGAAAAGACAAGGTTGCGTGTTGAGCTCACAGCAGCCCTCCAGTGTCTGAAGGAGGCCTACAGGGAAGCCAGAGAGGGACTTTTCGTCAAGAACTGTAGTGACAAGACAAGGAGTAATGGGTACAATCTGAAAGGGGGGAAATTTAGGTTAGATATTAGTAAGAAATTCTTTACTGGGAAGGTGGTGAGGCACTGGAACAGGTTGCCCAAGGAGGTTGTGGATGCCCCAGCCCTGGCAGTGTTCAAAGCTAGGTTGGACGAGGCTTAGAGCAGCCTGGTCTGGTGGGAGGTGTCCCTGCCCATAGCAAGGGGGGTTGGGATTAGATGGCCTTGGCTCCTCGCCCCGCAGAGACCCAGAGTTACCTCGGCAGCTTCTTGTACAGGAACCGCTTCAGGTCCTGCGGGCAGAGACGGGCACCGCGTTACTCACCCGCTCAGAGGGGGTGGGGGAGCGCCCGAGCTGCCTCCCCGCCCGGCCCCAACACCCCCTCTGCCCGGCGCTGCCTCCCCGCCCGGCCCCGGACGGACCGGGCCCGATCCCCCCGACTCCCGGCCCCCGCCAAAAAGCCGCCGCCCGCGTCCCGCCCGCCCCGAGGAGCCACACTCACGTCGGCCATGGCTGGGGCCCGCCCGGCGCTGCTGCCGCCGCCGCCACCTCTGCGGGCCTGAGAGACGAGACGAGAGGGCGCCCGGTCAGCAGAGGCGCGGCCGCCGCCCCGAAGGAGGGGAGCGGCGAGAGAGAGGGAGGGCGCGCTCCCTCCCCGAGGCCCGGCCGGCCGCTACCCCCCGCCCCGCTGCCGTGGTAGAGGCCGCTCCCACCCGCCCCGGGAGGGGAGCGCGGTTGGGCCGAGACCACCGCGCACCCGGGAGGGGTGTGTATGCGTGGGGGGGCAAGGGGGAGAGGTGCGGCGCTGCACTGCCTGCCTTGCCTTGCCTTGCCTTGTCTTGTCTTGCCTTGCCCTACCCACCCTGCCATACCTGTCGGCGCCCCCAGCGCGCCCCGCACGGCCCCGCCGCCGCTTCCCCTCGGAGCCGCTGTCACATGATGGGCGGTGCCGCCCTCCCAACCCCGGAACCGCTTCCCCGCCGCCTCCGCCCCGCCCCGGCAGCAAAACAAACCAAACCAAAACCAAAGCCCAGGACTGCAGTTACAGGAAAACAACAAAAAAGAAAAGTCCATTTCTGCCGAGTAGAGTCACTCCCAGTTTTACTCTTCATTTCCCCTACTTTTGGATCTAGTCTATCAAGCCTAGTCTTCTATCTAATCTTCAAAACCCGAAGGCTGATAATTTAACAGCTAATGTGAAGAATTAAAATAGATGAATCCAGTAGATGCCCACAGTGTAACAATAGTATTTGCACATCTGTTTTTAAAGTCTTGTATCAGAATCCAGGACCCTTCGTGGCAGGTCCAAAATAAAACCCCAACCCTGCTCAGCCTGTAACAGTGCTTTTTCTCTAAAAAAGAGCTGCTACAGGCCAAGCACAGAGTCACAGAACCAATTAGGTTGGAAAGACCTCTGAGATCATCGAGTCCAACCTATGACCCAACACCACCCTGTCAACTAGACCCTGGCACTGAGTGCCAGATCCAGTCTTTCCTTAAAACACCTCCAGGGATGGTGACTCCACCACCACCTTGGGCAGCTCATTCCAATGTTTAATCATCCTTTCTATGAAGAAATTCCTCATAATGCCCAAACTAAATCTTCCCTGATGCAGCTTGAGCCTGTGTCCTCTTGTCCTGTCACTAGTTGCCTGGGAGAAGAGGCTGACCCCACCTGGCTACAACCTCCTTTCAGGTAGTTGTAGAGAGTGATGAGGTCACCCCTGAGCTTCCTTTTCTCCAGGCTAAACAACCGCAGCTCCCTCAGCCGTTTCTCATAGGACTTGTGCTCCAGACCCTTCACCAGTTTCATTGCCCTTCTCTGGACTCGCTCCAGCACCTCAATGTCCTTTCTGAATTGAGGGGCTCAGAACTGGATACAGTACTTGATATGTGGCCTCACCAGTGCTGAGTACAGAGGGACAATCACTTCCCTGGTCCTGCTGGCCACAGTATTTCCTATACGAGCCAGGAGCCAGGATGCCATTGGCCTTCTTGGCCACTTGGGCACACTGCTGACTCATGCTCAGCAGCTGTTGCCCAGCACTCCCAAGTCCTTTTCTGCTGGGCAGCTTTCCAGGCACTCTGCCCCCAGCCTGCAGCGCTGCATGGGGTTGTTGTTACCCAAGAGCAGCACCCAGCACTTGGCCTTGTAGAACCTCATCCGTTTGGCCCTGGCCCAGCAGTCCAGCCTGTCCAGATCCCTCTGCAGAGCCCTCCTATCCTCCAGCAGACTGCCACACCCAACCAGTTTGGTGTCATCTGTGAATCTACTGAGGGTACATTCAATCCCTCATCCAGATCATCAGTAAAGACACTGGACAGGACTGGGCCCAGTACTGAGCCATGGGGGACACCACTAGTGATTAGAGCACTTACCTGAAAATTTTGTTTAGATGCCAGTACTGAAGCATGAACTAAAATGAAAAAAAAAGGTGCTCACATGGGAATTGCTGATGTTTCCTAAGGTATAGGTCCAGTGAAGTTTTTAAATCTCTTTTTGAGAAGCCCAAAACAGAGAAAAGCCACTTTTTTGTAAGTAAGAGAAGAAAAGCTCATTCAAAAAGACAAATTTATTTGAATACTGAGAATCCATACCTCCTTCTTAATCCAAGCCATGCAGACACAGCAATTTGATAAGGACTTGGTCATATTAGAGAGATACTTAAAAGAAAACCCCATAAAATTATCTTGTGTGAGCTTCTGGTAGTATTTTGAAAACGCTACCTGGGACAACCTTGGTCCCCTCATTTATTAAAATATTCCCTACTATACACTAAAAATGTTTAAAAATGCAACTGGCTTTCTATGATTTGTAGGCATCATGCTCAGTGATGAATTTTACTTGGTTCTCTGTCACATTATGAATAAAAGCTATGCAAAAGCATCTGTGAGGTGGCTCCTGTATTGCTATTAATGGGAATTTAGTCTCCCATCCCAATGACAGCTTTTCTATACATGGAACAAACAAGTACTGAAAGAAAATGTATATTCGGCATGAAGGATAACATTGTAACTAAACACTGCATTTTAATATTATTTCTAAAAATGGGGAGAAATCCAATACTCAAACCTAATTCCTGCTAGACTGAGAAGTCTCACAATTATCCTGGAGAAGTATGCATTACTATCTATTATTGATATTTTATTTCAAGTATTAAACCGATCTCATCTCAACCCACAGGTTTTACCTTCTTTCCGATTCTCCTCCCTGTCCCACTCTGGGGGGTGTGAGCTGGTAGCTACATTGGCCTATTTCTTTCCTATATGTATTGCATTATATTACATGTTAAGTTATAGTTTCACGAATTCATATATTACCTGTTTCTTTAAAAACAAAATGTCTGCTTTTACTATTACACTTTCCTTCTGCTTTCTTTGACAGAGCTACAAGAGAGAACAACAATTTCTTAAGGAATGACTGAAACTTATGGAACATACAACCTTAAAAAAATTTCCTGCCCTCCCATTTTAATCTTTTTACAGCATTCATTACAAAATTATATTGAAAATTTTTATCATTTAAAGTTGTCTCTGCTACGTATTTAAATGCATCTGTTGCATTTTAGTGCTGTAATGTTCTACCTTTTCTTGGAAACTTATTAAAGAATCAAGACTCTTTTTAAAAAAGTAAAAAATTCCAATTTAGACTTCTTATACCTAAACAGGGAACTTGTAGGGAAATGTTGATCCGATGTGAACACTGAACTCGCTTGTGACTCACGATGCTCCATAAATAGAACACGTACTGATGTTATATTTCAGCAGATGCAAATCATCTCCCTTTCTCATTGCACTGTGTCAAAGATTCATGCCAAGATTTTTCGCTTTTTGCAGGACTTTCCTGCTTGCCCTTTTAAAGGAAAAAGTCAAGAACCCATGCTCGTGTTATCTTTAATAAAGAGTAAGGAGTCGGTAGCTAAAAAAGTTGAGGGATTTTTAGTCAGGCTGTTCAAATACAGTTTTGTTTTTTCTGAAGAAAGGTCATCAGAAAAGATTCGAGTACTCCACCCTCTTCAATTTCAACCATGAGAAAATTAATTCTGAACTTTTCAGCAGATTCCTTTAACAAAATCAGGGAAGATAATGACTTTTCCGAAGGAAAAAACCTTCGGACTTGAGGAAAAAAGTAACAATCAAGAGAAAAACACCACTTGGAATATTAAAAGAATGTTTGCAGGTCATATTTAGAGCAGCTTAATCTTTATATTATCATAGCATCCTTTTGCACATTAGTGCATATTTCAAAGTGTGCAACTATTCGATCTGTTCAATACTGAGTAGCATTTTCCCACCAGTATAAACATATCGTTTCCTTCTTTGAAAATGCCAACTGCAATAGATAGTTAAATGAAATGTAGCACTTTTAAACTACTGGGATGTCTGTGTTGCCATAGGACACAGCCACTGCATTATTCCAGTTTGCTGAGGTACCGATAGCAATCTAACCAACCTCACACAGCTCAGTGTCTGTCCATTTACCTACTTCTCACCTGCAGCAGAAGAGGCTGCAGGGCAGACATAGCCCATAGTATTATTAGAGGCAGCTTTGCTAAGACCATCTCTTCACTCTGACTTCACTGTTCTGATATTTGACAAGTGTGTTATATATCCATTTTCCTATTAATTAAAATATCACCTGCAAGCTCAGACTCATTTGTGAACAGGAAGGCCCAAGTACTTGTTAAAGCCTTCTGAACAATTTTCTTCTATTAAGAAGACACAGGAGTACCAGTATGTACTTTGATAGTTTGTTTTCATTAGTATAATTACAATACATTCTGGACAGTTACAAAATCCAGGGAATCATGTTTTCTCCATAAATTTCTATTGCATATTTCAAACATTTGGATGCCTTTGCATTACTTCTGCATCCTTTTACTATAGTCTTAGAGAGGACATCCAGTACAGCAACCCTTTTTTGTTGTTGTTTCTGCAACTTTTAGTTCTGCTTTGTGCCTCAGGCTATGGTGTCCACCTTAAATGCTGGTTTAGCTGCTTAGTTAAAAGCCTGCAGCTAGTCTCATGTTATACCAATTCAAAAGAAGACATTTCCGCTGGGACAGTTTAGAAAAGGGATATATGCAAAATGATTTCTGGGTCACTTAGAGCAATCACATTTAGCATATCTGCAAAGTCATATCCTGCTCTAGATCAGGAGGAGTTGCAATGAAGTAAGTCAAAGTATTTAAACTTCCAGTTTTGGAGGAAAATTTGGCTCCACATAAACTTACAGCATTGTTCAAAGATAGCAGTTTTCTCAAACAAAAAACACTGCCCATATTATGAGCTATCTGGCATTCTCAAATACAAGAAACATTCCCCTGCATAACACTGTTAAAATGTAAAAAACATCAGCTACTGAACCTAAAAACATTTTCAACACACTTTGATAAACTTTAAGTACATTGTACTCAGCTGCTTTAGAACACCTCTTTGCATCAGCAGGTGTGGCAACATATAGTTTCCACTTACATGCCACTGAGTTACATGATCTTGTGTGTAGGAGCCAAACAGTAGGTTTGCTCATTTCTAGGAAGTCAGTCCAGCAACATTCTGGTCCCAAAAAATGCATTCCCTGGTAGGCCTCTTCTGCCTTGGGACCAGTGACAGAGCTCTGGCCATAGGGGCACACTGCAAAGTAGCAAAGCATTTAAATAGTTGGCAAAAGGGTTGAAAGGCACATACCTTGTCCTTAGCAAAATTTCCCTGTTCCACTTGCAGTGCCCATTGAGGAATTAGTGTTGGGACCTAGCTTGAAATAAAAATGCAGTAAAAAAATGGAAGCCTTCCAGGAAAAAAAATAGGTATTTTTTTAATATAGTTTTAAGATTTTACTTTTGCATGTTTTTCTCTGCCTTTCCAGTGAAAATTAAGGAAGCTATGGATGCATATTAACCATACGTATGGATTTACTACTACTGGAATACCAAATGGTAGAGCAGCTGTAAACTGTTGCAAGTACTAAAAGCAATGTTTACAATGGTCTGTACAGCATTTGCAAATATTTACTTTGAAAAGAGATTAGTGTCATTCTGAAGTTTTCTCAGCATTGCTTAGAAATGCTAAAAAACTACAACAGCTAGACTGCTACTCTACACCAGATCAATATACCCCAACAGATATTTAGGAATATATGCCATTATATTTAAAAATACCAAGTTCCTCTAAGCTGGCAAACCTAGAAGATTTTATATAGAGTTAGAGATAAAATATTAAAAATTATTGTTTCAACTCCACACACTTGACATCTGAATAGGAGTAATGTAATCATACTATTTATTCCATCAGTGAGACAAAATGTAGTATGGAACTAAATTTCTGAGATTTTAAATAGAAAGTCATTTAACTCGTATATACACAAAGTGTTCTTTCCACAGATATTTACATGGCAAATATGTTAGAGGAGAACCACTATGACTAAGTCTCTACAAGTACAGCATCCTTTCTGAGCTATTCTCTCTGCTGAAAGAATTCACAGAAGCTTTGAAGTAAAATCTAGACAATTAAAGTTACCTATATTTCACAGTAGGTAAAGAAGCCATTAAATAATATTTCAGCATAAGGTTTCTGGAAACAGCTACACAGTAGAGGTTTACATCCACCCTTCTTTTCCAGCAGCATTCATGGTGAAACTAAATCTCTTCTTAATTTACAAGAGAGATAACAGCATACATAAAGATGTAGTGTACAACTGTAGCTCATCCTCCTCGATAGAGGCTGGTCAGCCGTTCTAGTTCTTTGCAGTTCTCCATGGACATGGACTCTGCCTTCTTTCGGAGACGGTCGTCTCGATATACTTTTGCTGCATAAAGTAAGTCTGTTTCTTTAAGGAAAAAAAGAGAACAGATTTTTTTGGTTAAAAACTGGACACTTGGCATATGACATATTCCTGCTTAGAGTTGTACAAAACACCTCAGGTTTAATCCTTGCCCTTTTTTCTTTCTGTCTATTCTAACTTCTCTCAGACATCACCTAAACAGCACTGCTACACTTCGCTGGATCTTGATAAGCATTGCATCTTTTTGAGCAGATAAAGCCATAACGGCCTTTGAGCTCCCTCACAGTTCATACAGCAGCATCTGATTAAATGAAAAACCCAAACCAAAAAACCCCAACAGGAACAAAGCAACAAAAAGTCCCCTACAACTACTGTCAGACTTCATTAAACAATAAAAATATAGGCCACACTCAGTGATCTTATATATTATTGACAGCGGTAACATCTTGTCTATGCCCCAAAAAATCCATTCTGAACGTTAAGCCCTTTACTTCAACTGATACTGCTTCAGTGATTCAGAGGTATTAATAATTAAGAACTCTCTGTATTATACTGGTGTTCAGCAGCTTGACATTGCCAAGCATTTTAATTCTGTAAAATCTTTTTCATCACTTCAAATAAAAATGGATTAGCAAGGCATTCTTAAATGTCAATCAGCGCTGGACAGATTTTTAATGTCAAGGAGATCCAACACACAACAGGTATTTTAAATCCATAAGCCCAAAAATCAGCTGTTTTCTATCAATAGAGAAAATCCATTAGAGGCCTCTTACTCAAAATCAATTTGACCGAGTTGTTTTCACAACTTGATAAATTACAAGTAGTAAACAACATGACAGTCACCACCTTCAGACTATTTTTGTTCTTTTTACTGGGGTCAGATTGTCTCTGTAGCAATCACATTTTCCCCAGTAAACATGTACATACAGAAGCGTGAGCCTCCTTGCATTGTCCAGGACTCAGATCATGCTTTAAAAAGTAAGCATGTCAAGAATAACTGCTGAAATATGAGAAATGTAATCTTTCTCCTTCTTTCCTCCTCACGCAGAACTGCCTATCAATACAGGCTTTTCAAAGATATTTATATAGTAAATATATTACAGAAGACACAAATGTAACATGCCACTAAATTTAAGTGTAATGACTAGGTCAATAAAAGCAAACTGTCCTTCCAGATCTATATACTCTGATGAAAAAATGTATAAATAATACATCTTCTTTTTATTGCACTGGATTATATCTTGTCTTTAATTTTTGTTAAAAAGCACCTCTCATTTTTGTAAACTGTTTTTTACAGCTGGGAAAAACTGAGTGGCCATCTCAGCTGAAAGGCCTGGCAGCACTGGACTGCAGAGAGTAAAGCTGTGCAGGAACATGTGATTTCATGTGATTTTACACAGCAAAGAGCATTCTATTTGCCTCTGGTCAGTTTACTGACAGTTCATGAATTAATTATTTTTCCAGTAAGCCATTACTGAAGTTTACCACCTGAAAAGTTAAAACCATCTGGTTTCAACACTGATGTCTTTTTAGCAGCACTGTTCTCATAGAGCATGAAAGGCTCACAAAATGGTCACAAATAATAGAATAACAGGTTAAAATTGATGCTGATTTGGAGATGGCTGATGCTATTCAGTATTCTTATGCTTTAAAACTGAATTCTAGGCTTCTGAAAGAAAATAGCTCATTGTATAATATGAGATTGAAGAAACAGATGGTAAACTGAAAACACCCTTGTTTATAGGGTCTGATATAGCCATGGTACCAAGTCCAGGGAGAAAAATAATTCAGCACTGGCAAAAGATGAAGCACTGATTTTAGAGCTTATGATATTTTACAGGACATGCTGCCTGTCCTTGGTTGCCTGGAAGAGCAGTGTTTGTACGTAATGTGGTCCAAGGCAGATTATTGTTTTCCCCTCTCTGGAAACACCTATGTGATGAAATAATGTGGAAGACATTAGAATTCTTAGAAACTGCTGTAAGTTAAGGACAAAAGCTTTGTCATTATCAATTCAGCGTAGTCTTTAATTTTCTGAGAAATGGTCACAGATAATAAAGCAGCAGGTTGAAATTGCTGATGATTTGCAGATGGTTGTTAGGTCACAGCGTAAAACTCAGAAATTAAGTGACACTGGAGACACCTTTGAAGTGAGAAACAGTAGAGAACCTTACACCTGCTTTTGCGTTGAGACATTTTAGTAGTACAAGCATTTCATTCTTGCCTACGGTAATATATTTTTATAGCAATCCATGCTTTCATGGAATTACACATATTACCAAACTTACTTTGTTGTCTCTCCTTCCAACAGTTATTGCGAATGTTGGACACATAATCCTCTTCCACACTCTTTTCCACTTTCTGTAATGACACTCCTTTGTATTCATTTCTGAAGTCCTTGTTGACATAGTAAATGACACCCAAGTTTTCTGTCTGCATTTTTATGACCTGCCCTGTACTTCTGCAAGAAAGGAGGCAGGGGGGAGAGAGAGACTAAATATTAATTTGATTTTTTTTTTACACCACAAAGAGACTTTTAAGAGATATTGCTATTATATAATAATGCCAACATATTACTGAATTTGCCATTTCAAGACAAGTAATGAAAGGAATGGCCGCATAATCTGCTATGGAATAGAATTACTGCATTCACCTGAACTTCTGCTGCTTTAGCACTTGAACTGAAAAAAACCCCCACTTTACTAAGACACTTGTTTCATACCTCTTTAGGCAAACGTAAGCTTTGGTAATAGAAAATGACATTTAAACTCAACAGAAAGGAAATCAGGTCACTATTCTGTAGCAACCCAGTATATACAGGCAACTCCATTCTAAAGTGTTCGCTGCCAGCCCTGATAAATCCATTCTCCTGCTGGCATTCTAGAGATTAAAAACCAAAGATTGGATGCAAACATTCTGGCAGAGAAGTGTTTCTAAGCGTCACAACAGCTTAGCTGCAGAAGGGAAAAACACCACAGTCCAGAAATAAACAACTATGAAAATCAGGAGAAAAGAAACCTTTCTGTTGTGGGGCTGAGAGCTCTGCAAGGAACTAAGGACCTTTAAAACCATTGTGGTGAGTGGGTTAAGTCTACTGACTAGCTGCAAGCCTGATTCAAGTTATTTATTTCTTGCAAGGAAAAAAGGCTTATATATCCTACTGTACAAAACAGGTAAGTCTCACTAGTGGAATTCTTCACAGGAAAATGAAGATAAACTACTTTGCCATCACCTAAAGTGAAGTAAAAGAATAGACAGTTTTCCCAGCCCTCATCTAGTTTAACACTTATGTAAGGCTGAGAAAGTTGCTTTCAAGTACTTCGCTTGCTGCAAACATAGATCACCCCCAAAAGAACAATGAGCCTTAGCAGGTTTCAGTATTTGATTAAATGTGTTGGAGATGCAACCACCTTTGCAACATGCCATGTTGCATGGACCCATGCCTTGTATTGGACCTCCCAAACTCCACGTGTTGATGACCTCTGTTCTCCATTGTGTTCTCAGCATGTTCTTAGTACCTAAATTTTAAGTTTTCTTCTGCTCTGTCTACACATTCTCTCCTTTTCCTCACAGTGGGAAATCAAGGACAAACTAATGGTAGGCTCATTAAAATGCTTCTAAGTGGGAGAGGGTGATTACATCACCTTCCCCTCTGTTTTAAGGTAATGTAATTAAGCACTACTTACGATCTTGGGTATAAGGCGTAAGGAGGGTTAGATACCATCAACTGGCTCAACAAGGAGACAAAGATCAACACAATAATAGGCATCAGCTGGATGACCATAGAGAAGCCTCCCTAAGGAACAAAACATGTGCAGGTATTTCATAAATAAGCATCAAGTAAGCAGAATAAATTTGACAAGATTTAATGCCAAGTGTGACTTTCTGCTTTAAGCCTCAAAGGCTGCTAGAAAAACTGTAATTGCAATCACTGTGGTATTATCTGAACTTTCTAATCTGTACACAATATTCACAGAGTGCGAGAGTTCATGGGTTAGCATGTACCCACAAGCAACTACCAAATAAAAGCTGGATTCAGTTACATTGTATGCCATGATTTGGTCTCATCTATAATTACATCTGATATGTAATTATACAGGACATAGATAATTCATGTAGGTGAATATTGAGTTCAATTCTTACCTCAGCCCAAACACATTTTTAAATGCAGACAAGGGTTAGTGGTCAGAATTAGTGGCATATTTAGGCTAATAACACCAGTCACCAGAAAGACAGTGACATTCAACAACAGATTTACAAAAGCTTCTCAAATTTGCTGGTCTATTTGCCAATCAGTAAGATTACCACCCGGTGAAGTTTTAAAATACCTAACTGGCAAGTACAAACCCTCCTCTACAGTACAGAGCTCCTGTACAATCACATCACTGACAGTGACTACCAGCAAATTTCACAATCCACAGTTTAAAGCCAATAGTGATTAAACATACATCACCCCTCTCTTCCTCTCTCTCATGTCCACTCTGACGGTGCTGATTAGGATGACTGTAGCCAGCACGACCATTAGAAAATGAATGTACGCTACCTGAGGAAAGAAATATCCGCATTTAAATAATGGAAAAAAAGTACTATTTAGAGGTCAGGACCAAAGTATTTAACATTACTTCACTATGGCACATAAAATAACATTAAGATTCTTACAAAGTTGAAGTTGTTTAAAATAAATATTTTAAGCTCTAAGATAGTAACCCTAAAGAAGTGAACTGACATTTTTGGGATTTAGCAACACTTGGGGAAAAATAAACTGTGATGCAGATTGAAAAGGTAGGGTTGGAGGTAGGATGGAATAATGCTACTGTTTTATAATGTTACAAACTCTAATGCCACTCTGCGCAGTACATACCAAAAATTATACTGATGTATACAAATACCTGTTGGAAAGGCCCCTCCAAAAAACATGTTGAACAGATCCTCCGGAGTAATATCAGCCTCACAACCTCTATGGAAGTTGAATCTACCGTTGCTAGGGTGATTGCATGTTTGCTCTTCACTCCCTGTAAAGTCATACTGCTTTCGTTTTTCTGGATTACTCAGCACAGCATATGCATTTCCGATTTCTGAAGCAAGGAATAAAAGACAACTCCCGTAAATAAATGACAAAAGTTATTCCAGCATGCAATTTCAAAGTCAAAAAACAGGCAGCAAACGATGTCCTTTATTGTATGTTACAAAACAACTACAGTAGAAGAAGGTCCAGAAACATCTCTACTGTTCTCAGAATAGTTTCCACAAGGTTTCCCATCAACGCTATTCAAAGGCCTTTTATCCTGTTGAAGGAGGCAGAAGGCAGGAGAGCTTTGTTTCTTTTTCTAGGGGAACACCTACACCTGTGGAAATGTTCTCTCACTGCAATTACAAAAAAAGCATCAGGCATTTCAATGAAAGCTCTGAAGCTGGGTACTTGCAAAGTGCAGTTTTCCCTAGCAGCCTAGCTTTAAAAAAAAAAATCATAGACTCTGTAGGTTTTCTTTAGTTTCATTTCATAAATGGTCAGTTCTTTGAATGCATCAAATTCATTGTCTACAAGAGCGTATTTTTCTCAATGCTTCTGAAGTTATTTTATGGATTAGATTAATAACAGAGGTTTGTATGACATAATATGAAGAACAGAACATGTGAGCACAACAGGAACATGTGTGTTCCTAAGGCTGTCAGTATGACCTCAATGTTTGGAGTGCCTGGCCTGGATGCTTGTCCTCATTTATGCAAAGTTATCACAAACGCACAACTTCAATTCTGACAGTAGAAAGGAAAAAAAACTGAGTTAGGTGAGCACGGAAAAAAATCAGCGAGAAACCCCACATATTCTGCTGACTTTACAACCTTTTTTCTTGCTGTGCACAGACATACAGCTCTTGCAGACTGAAGAAAAAATTTCTGTTGCCACTGGATGAACCATCTTCACTCAGTCACATCTTCATTAAACCCTTTCTGCCTTCCTTTCTTCTTTCTCCTCCAGGCCTCTCCAACAAAAGGTTTCTTTTGCAGCCAACCAACCCAAGACACAGGGATTATGTTTTTTCAGTGTTGAAAAGCCATCAGTCATCAAAAGTTCATAAAAGGTGCAACATTATAACCTCAACACAGGCAAGTAAGACTACAGCTTATAATTAATATTTTAAACATTATCCAATCTAAGAAAAAGTTAATGAGTTTTAGCTACGTGTCTTTTAAGATGCCCTTAGAAAAAAATCATTAGTAATTCCTTTAAGTGGAGAAAACTCAAAGAAATGAAGCCTGGTAATTTGCACTGAGATCACAATATACACTGACACCAGGTATTGCTCTGTTGCTCAGTACAAGGATAAAATTGGTAGTAAAAATTTATATTTTCTCAAGAATTAAGAATCTGGGAAGACCAATCAGGTGACTGCACATAAAGTGAAGACACCATACTGTCACCACACTGTATGCCTATTTGTTAATTGCTTTTCATTATCTGACCCTAATTCACAACAGATTTGATTCTAATATGATTTTCTTTAATAAAAGGACATAAAAACAACTACTCAGAAGTTTTAAAAAAAGGTTTCTGATGAAGTGTGTAAAAGAGATGCCAAGAGAATAAAAGTCATTATATTTGCACAAACTTTTTAATCTAAAATTCAACCTCAGTGAGACTGCTCAATACAACAGAGGAGCAGTACTAGGTAGCTCAAGATATAAGTACCTTGCCTATCATGAAACTCAATTCTGTTTTCTAATGTGACCTTTCCTTAAAATAAAGCATTATTATGAAATAAAAACTATTATTATTAATTCCTTTTCTCAGATGGATGTCAGAAATTCATGAGACACCCTTAAAGGAAAACTAAACCATAAATTTACTCAGCCATACAAAAAAATCACAATAATTTCAATGCAAGAAAATGCTAGTTTTCATTAAATAACATTTAGTTAACAAGATTCCCCTATGAAATTTTCTGTTCATTTATTTATCTAGTTAAGAACCAGAAAGTGAAATTAAGCTGAAGAAATCAGACTTGTACAAAGTGCTAGTGTTAAATAAAATATTAAATATTAAGAAACTGATTTTTAACATTTTAAAGATTATTTAAAATGCTATTAATAAGGAAGAACTTTCATTCCTAAGGCCTGAGACAATTTTATAAGAATAATACCTTTTTTTAAGATAAAGACATCACATACCTGTATTAAATCAATCATTAGCAATCAAGTTTCCTGTTAAGCTGTATCTACTTTTTCATTTGGAATTGTTAATATATTATTATAATTACCTCTTCAAGTCTGTATCAGAAGTCTTGCTCAGGACTTTTTTTTTTCTTTTTTTCCCTCCCCAATTTAAGTGTTTTATCCGAATGATTTTTTCAAATGTCTGCATGTAAACCTCACACAAGAAAAAAATAAAAAAGATGTACCACAATCAGACTGTTTATTTATGCATGATCATTTCCTATAGATTCACATTTTTCTTCATCTGAGATGAAGGTGTAGTTTTCTTTAAAAAGTTTTTCCTCAACAATTTCCCTTATGCAGGGCTAAGCTTGGCAGCCTTAGATAAGATCAAGTTAGACTAAATTTTACCTAAAAAATGGTCCAAGGCAACTATTATTAAGGCCATGTTTGAACTCATGAGTTTTTGTGTGGAAAACGTAGTAAAACTACACAAATACAAGAAATTTTAAGGAAAAGGTAACAGTGTGGCACATGACTCACTAAAACCTGCATTTTCCTATCAAGAATAGCTTTGTTTTTTTTCAAGCTCCAGTATAGTAAAAATTCAAGGTAGCAGAATTCAATTGACTACATTAAGTCAACAACAGTAAAAAAGTGCAACTGGGTTTCACAGATCAAGTGTTTTCTCCCTGTACCTGAACATTACAGTCAGTCCTCTGAAACAGAACCCTACTGCAAAGGTCCACACTTATCTATACTTCTAATATAATAAAGGTCAAATATTTTCTTGAATAAAAATGCCAGTTTAACATTAACTACTAAACACATGGACAATTTTGTAAGAAGACAAGTGACCAGTGCAGATAAATTTCTTTTAATTGGACAAAGTTTAATAATTAAAAAAAATTAATTAAAAATGGTATTTTACTTTTAAAAGCCTCTGTTGCTCCAGGTGCATGGTTTTTGTCTGGGTGGAATTTCAAAGCAAGTTTTCTATAAGCCTTCTTTAGGTCTTCTTCACCTGCATCCTTTGACACCCCAAGGACTTCATAGTAATTTTTACATTTCTTTATACTGCAAAAGAAAATGAAGTAAAACATTGCAAACAAAAAATGTAAAAGTAGTATGTTAGAACACAGAAGCAAATGAGGTAATACATTGCACTGGTGCATTACATTACAGCTCTCGCTTTCAATATAAAATATTTTGAAATATCTACTCTGGAAACAAAGAATGCCATTTTTCATAATAGACTCACTACTAAGCAAAATAAACTACTGCACTCAAAATTACTTACTATATACATTTCTTTTACCTATTCTGCCGTAGAATTACCACAGTTGTAAGAAAGGATTTCAGTTTGCAATTCCTGTAGCACTCCTCATCCCCAATTATATTAATATTGGCGTTAACAATGCATAAAAAGATTCTAAATTTTCCTTGCAGAGCAAGCAGGTAGGAAGGCCTGTTTCGACTGTAAACAGCAAAGGGACTTCAGTACACACATAAAACAAACCAAACAATACCTCCCTTTCTCCAAACAAAAGTCAAGTCATAACACCATTCAAGCATTCACTTTTCAGGGAAATAAGACATGTGAAAATACTTCTGCTGCTGGGAATGCACCTAGATTTTTAACAATCCTTCTGTAAGTGTTTATGTAAATTCAAAGAAACAATTATACATTCGGCTCATCCCATACATTCAAGTGTAGCCTTTTTTTTAAACTCAGAAAACTTGGAAATATTCTTGTAGGCTGTCTCACCCAGACAGGAAAAGCAAAATCTGGAACTGATGTAATCATTTGGTATACTTTACAATACCCAGAAGAAAGAAAAAACATTTACAAGGGAAGGGAGAACATTGATTCTATGTGGGCAGGAAGAACTGACCAAACCAGTAAATATACCTTAAAAATCAAACCAAGTTACTTGGGTAAGAATTCAGAAACCTAGAAAAATAAAGCTGAATCATAAACTTGCACTGCAGGAATGAGGCGTGCTGACATTGGGTGCATACCAAAAAAATAGGGGGCTGGTCTGAGCAAGAAATAGAAATTACATCCATAAATATTTTAAAAGCTTCATGTGTCTTCACATGGCTGTAACTGTACTTGTATTCTTTTAAACACACAAATTTCTACAAAAATATGGGTTTAATGTTGCCAAGACTACACACAGGGCAGCCAAGTGGAAAAATAGGTGGCAAGCAAGCCTTTGGCATTCTCATGAAAGCAGTATGGACAGCCTGTAATTAAGGGAATGAGAGCATCAGAAGTACAACCACGCCGTCATGTGTGGTCCTTCCTAGTTCACAAATTGATCAAATCAAGTTTCATATGAGGGATCCTGTTTCCTGTGTTCAAATAATACAAGCTTTTATGGAAGTCTCGGTGTAATGCTCACAAGAACACTGAATTGAACGTATGCAGGCATCTGCCAACACAAACATCCTGTGAAATAAATATAGCTCATTATATTGAAGTAACATTTAATAAGCTCCAGTTAGGAAGCTGATAAAACTAACTAAAAAGAACACAGTGAATCCATCGAGAAAGAATGGAAAGAAAATACATTAAATTATACTCTGAGTACTGGTAACTTTTGTTTCGTAATTTGTACAAGAAGAAAAAAATGTGGTAGTGTACAAATCCCTTAATCCTTAGCCTCCATACCTGGATGACTTATGACCACTGTCAAGAACAGGTAGCTTTATTTAAACATGTAACAGTATCAGATTAAGCTTTTATTTAATGAAATTGCTATCTCGGCATCAAATCTAAGTTCTCTTCAGTAACTCAGTTTCTGAATTACTTGTTTGTGGACCAGACTCTTCAGAACTTCGGTTGATATAAAATTACAAAATGTCACCAGGGCATCCTCAACAACTTTGTCCCGCAACAGCATATAGGAATTTCTCATGAAAGGAACAGACATGAAAAAATAAACCCACGAAAGTTTACTTATTTGCAGACTTGATATGCATTATTTCACAACTCTAGGAAGCCAAGAGGAGAAATACAGAAAAAAAAAAACCCAGAACAACAGATGCTAACCTGTTCTAACCCCCCAAAACTCACTTGAGAGTTCCCTCCCATTTACAACCAATGAAAGTTCCACAGTGGGCAATCCTCAAGGGAGAAGCAGGAATGGTATCAATCAGAGGATTGTCTGACCCACCAGCTTCAGACATCATGATCTGCTTAAAGCCAGTGCATCAAACCAGAGCTGCTCCCTGATGAGAAAGTGCAGGGAGAAACCTGCTTTGTGGGTCATATCCAAAGGATTAATGCAATCTCCTCCATACAACAGCTATCCTGAACCTGGTCCACAAATGAGGTATTTTTATTATCAAGAAACAAGTGTCCAGCCAAGGTATATCACATTTCTATTTTCTCTTTGCAAGTCTTTCCTAGTGATCGCTTTGTTAAACGAAAAATTCTGCACACACAGATGTGGAACATGCATATCCATATGGTAATTTTTCAGAATTTAGCATGACTTTGCATTAGGCAGGTCAAGCTTTAAAGATAAAAAACATTAAATGACTGTACAAATGCACAAGGGCCAAAAACCCGTATCTAAGCCTGGAAATCTCAGCAATGACCTTATGCTATGAAACCCTTGCTGTATTAGCCAACAGTTTTATACCACTGCTTGGCCCCTTCAAGGCAAAAGCATCTGGACTACAAGTAGCTAGCACCTAGTTAATGCAGTTTTGTACTGGAAGGCAGTCAGTGACTTCGGCCAGGAGGTCCCTGACAGAACATCATTCAGGGCAATCATTACAGGATAAGACCTCAGTTTTCCCCCCCTCAGCAAAGTCCATGAGAGCTTTAGACCAAAACTTGTACTGCTGCTGCTTGTATAGGGGATGATGGGACAAGCAAAGATGATTAAAAGGTGTTTCCCAATTAAACAAAGTTATCAGTGTTTGTGATGCTCTCCTGAGAGGCAAAACTTCAGTGCATCCCAAACTCAACCTGGTAAGGCAGTTTATCAGAGAACAAACTGTAGGGGATCACCAGGACAACTCACCAGATCCTCAGGTCACACATGTGCTGTGCAGTCACGAGGCTTCCTAAACACTGGAGCCCCACTAGGGCCTGGCATGCCCCATCCCTCGCCATCCTTAAAGAGATGGCGTTCACAGGCTTTGCACAGATTCACCAAGTCTTCTTCCCCCATACTCCACTATCCCAATAAAAAATTTCTTTCCATCTGCTGGAAGCTGTTGAACGGCATGGTCAATTTGATCCTTGTCCTTCAGCAGATGCAGATCTTTTTGGACATATTCCTCACCCCGTCTCTAGTAGGCTGACGACTGACAATGCTCAGTCAGCCAGAATCCCTCGCCTGCACCACTGAACTGTCCTGTGGAGATTTGTCACAGGAGGGCAGATGGATGGTAGGATCCATCCCTTTCCCACTTCTCTATTATTGCAGGACACACAACATGAGCCAGCAGAGGCAGGCTAAAATAAAGAGTAAAACCAGAGATTTTGGAAAAGTCAAATCACGATGTTACTTCTGGCTTTTAACTGCACCTGAAACCCCTATCCTGCAACACTCTCAGCATGAACAACTAACTTCCTGAATGCTGCATTTCAAATTGTTGTTTGTTTGTCTTGCTGCCCCTTAAGGCACTGTAGTTCCTACTGCTAATTTTCTTGCATATGTAAATTCGACACGGATGTTTCTTTTTAAAATTCCTGTAGACACATCACTTGTTCATTGCCTGCTCATTTTGCATTGATTGGTTTTTGTTGTGGTTGTTGTTATTTATTTATGGCTTATTGGAAGTCTGGTGTTTTTACTCATACTTTGTTTGGGGTTTTGTTTCTTGTGAAATGCTTATCTTGTGCTTTTCATTCCTGGTTGGATCACTTCTGTATCTAAATGACTATAAAATTATTTCTGTTGTTTTGCTAATTTCTGTCCTTGTTGAATTGTTAGTCCCCTGCCAACACCTTGGCACTGTCCTTCTGGTTAACAGATTTGCTGACTGTTTTAAGAGGGCACATTGCTGGATGTTCCTGAAATAATATCTGACTTTTAGAGAATAGATTTCTCAAACAGCATGAGAGCAAGCAATGGCCTACATACCTCCCCAGTCTGGTGACAGAGGTAACTTGCCATGACTTGCAAAGCTCCACTATCCTAGCACCTGCAGCAGAACTGGTCAGCCACATTGAAACTGGAGTAACTACCAATTCTGCTTGACACTGGTCTCCTCGCCATGCTCTGACAGCTGGCAGTAGAGGAAGCCCCTCAGGTCCTGAAAAGTCTGTTCTCACCTGCAGAAATTCTGGGGCTACTACCACTGGTTCTCCTGTGACTACAGAATGACATGATCCTACAGCTGTGCTTCTTGGTTCACTTTTCAAATCTACAATTCAGATTAGGTCAGCATTGACAGCTTTTATCAGATTAACAAAACCTACTGGAGACATTTGCATTTCTGTATCAAATACCCACAGTAATCCACAATCACGAAGTTTTGAGTATCACTAGGTATTCCAAAGGGCATTCCAAAGCCTCTGTCTACATACACAGGGACAACAGCCCTAAAGACAAATACTTTGACCACAATCTCCAACAGTTGTGAGGGCAGTCACAATTATTTCTCCCAATGATAAACTGAACTGAGCAGTGCAGTGAGCAGTAATGTGAATGGTATGACAAAGAACTGAGCAAGAGGAAGCTACACTGACTTCCAATCCTAGAGTTGAGCAGAAAAACACAGTAAAATGCAGACCAATTTCTATACAGGTCGAATTTCCAGTGATACCAGAGGGCCTGATGCAAATGGTATCTTGCAGCTGAATTGGGAATGTGCCAGTCACAGTTTGGGTGACATAAGCGTGGTCTGCAAAAAATGCTCTAGATTGGGAAGAGAAGGTCGCAGCATTGTTGAGGAACTCGAGCTGGTACCAGCATATCCCTAGTTTCTGGAACAAATGCACCAGAAATTTCAGATCTCTGTTGTACTGATAGATTCAATACCATATCTGGGTGCTTGTCTTAGTACCTTGCTCTGGCATGTACCTGATCAGTTTGTTTCTACTGTGTGAATTATATGAAATACTCAAGGCTGTGTTTACATCAGCATACTTTCCTCCAGATTTGATTTAAGCTTTTAGTTATAAAAAGCGTAGATTAAAGGCAGAAGCTTTCTGACAAAGTTCATCATATCTTCTGTGCCACTTTCCCATGACAGACTCTATGAATATGATTTTCACCTTAATTTCACAACCATTCAACCAGTTATTTCAACAGTTCGTAGTAGTTCTACAGCCTAATTAAAGGCATGCCCTGATTTCTTTGCTCTGATGGGTTTTGTTTGTTGTTTTTTTTTTCATTTCAGCAGATGTTGATTGCTCTTATTAATCCACTTTCAGTGAATTATCTTCTTGACCTCATGTTAGAAAAGAACCGATATATCTCTTTTTGCTGAATTTGCAGAAGCCTCAGTAGAATGCCTGGAAAGCCAGTCACACAACTTACACTCCTTCTAGTCTGATTCATGAAATGTGTAGAGGCAATTTTTTTGGTTTACTACGTGAATTCAAAATTAAACTGCTGACTATTCTTAACCACTACTGGATGACGCTTAATCTTGCCTTGCAAGTTTTCTATAGAACTCATGCCTCTTTTGATTTGTTTTGGTTCTATCTCAAAGATACAAATACAAAATTTCATTCTTGTGTTTTCTTCCAAGAAGCAGGCACTGGCAAGGGCAGAAAAAGCAGTATTCCACCACAGTTTTCATAAGACAGAAACCCAACTCTAGCATACTACTTATCATGGCAGTTATCTTTCAGATGTGAAAAAAATAATATGGAATATATGCTATGGCTTATTCACTAAAAAGAGACCAAAGAGATCAAACACCATATGAATTTTAAGATCATTTAAAGAGAGCCTGTGTATATCATAGAACATGTCAGAAACTCTTTTTTAAAATCATGTAGCAGACAACAGATAATACACACTTTGCAGCATAAAAAGAAATGGAAAAGATTAATACACAGCAGGCAAATGATCCTTTTTTTTTAATTTCATGCTAGTCCACAAAATGGGTCTGCACACTTGGTACAAGTGGGCAGATATTATGAACAGAATTTTTTTTAGAGTAATTAAGAACTTCAATAAATAATCCCGATCAGTACTTCTTCAGTTAAGTGAACTAGAAGAAAAAGAAAAGTTTAAATTTTCTTTTTTTTACAAAAATGTTTCATTTCTTTATCTCAGCAAAAATGCTACATGAAAGAGTGAAGGAATTGCTGTAAAGCAAAGATCACAAAATCCAAATGCAAATTCTCCCTTTTTTTTGTTGTGCACACGATTCTCACACATTTGTCTTAAGGTGACATTGCTCGGGTAGCTTTCAATTGCCAAGAGACTTCTAGGGCACTTGCTCTAACAAGATGTTAAGTCTGCTGTGAGTCCTAAGATATTTCTGTCAGTCTCTTGTCAATATCTCCGACATGCAGATCACCTAAAGGTGTTAAGGCAACTTCATCCAGTTCTCAGTGACAAAATAAGCATCATTAAGAAAAAGATGCATGCACTACAGATGGTATTTTCAAAGCATTTCAATTTAAAAGCAACACAGTGCTTTGGTACATCTCAAGCTTCAAACCACCACACAAACAGTGAGCACAGTTCCCACAAGGAACAAAGCATTTCCCAGCACTTATGCAATCAGTGGAAATATATTACATCTTATGCTTCTCCCTGTTGAGCAACTTGCAAGCTCATGTAACACTCTACAGAACTGATATGGTAGCTTGCTAGTGAGCAGTGTCCCCTGTGTATGTGGAAAAAAATAAAACCAGCACAGAGGTGCTTGTCTGTACTTATACCTACTCACATTAGTAGAGTAACCCTGATGAAAATTAATGCAGTTAAATGAGCTATATTGCTCCCAGCATGTCTTCACTGTGCTTCTTAAATCTATTGTCACAAGCAAATTCAAGATAGCTGGACAACACCAGGAACTCTAACCAGAGATCCAAGCCAGAGAGCTCAGCCAGTCCCCCTGTCCAACTGCTCACTGAAGTTTACAACAAAAGTGTTGGAAATGGCGTGTGTAGTTAAAGCAGGAACGCTTTCTCTCCACCTACATTCAATTACTTATAAGAACCAAAAACTCCTAGAGGGAAGATATACTTGAGGATAATCACCATCTTTCAAATCATACAAATGCAAACCAACTTTGTCAAGAGTCAAATTCATGGTGAGAGTCAGAATTTATTAAAGTTTGAAGATTTTGCTACCCTGCTATCTAAAAATTTCTTTCCTTACAGGAAGAAAAGACAGAAATCAGACAAGAAAGACTATTTAAAGCCACCTCTTTTCACACAGTATTTCTTTAACCAATTCAAAAGTCTGAAAACCATTCCACTGTGGTATGGCAGAAACATATGGTGGTGACAAGCTCTACTCTCTGAAGAATACCCTCCCCTGAGGGGCAAATTTCATTTAACTGGAAAAGTCTGGGGCCTGACTGAAGCAATAACATATTCATCCTGTCATGTTTCCAGCTAGGAAGCTCATTCTCACTGTGGTTTAAACATGAACTTTCTCTCAGCTATCACCACTGAATGTGTTATATTTTTCCATTAAGTTTTAGCCCATTTAGCCATACTTAACTCTTCTCATTACCAAGGCACATATGCTTTTTAATTCTTAACCACAAATATTTTAAGTGGTTTGTTGATGTCCCCAGCTGAAAACATTACAAACTTTTCAAAACTTGCAATGTGAACTGGAGACTTGCTCTGTTGATCGTTGCACATCTAAACCAAAATTCAGTCTCTCTCCAGAGGTTTATAAACTGCTATATAACTGCATGATTTTAAGTGTTATGTAAAATACAAACAAACATGGGTTGTTTTGTAAGCTATTACAATTTCTTATTTTGGAAAGATATTGGTAGGTTTTAAAAACCCATATTTAATATTCAATATTCAATATTCTTGAGGCAATGTTGCATCAAGATTATCCTCAATGTGCAGCTTCTGTGAATATCCCTAACTCTGGTTCTGATCTTAACAAACTGGATTAAGTTTATCTGGCATCTAGGGAATCCCTTCAAGGAAGCAATACTCAATTACAGAAAAGCATACCAGAAAGAAAAACTGGCTCTACTTCATCATTTCAGTCAAGACAAAGTAGGCAACATACCTTCTGGTAAAACAAACAAAAAGGCAGATCTTGCAGAGAGCCTGATGTCAAAGCAGACTGCAGCTCAGAATGGCACGTCACAGGTGAGTGAATACTGGCAGTAACAGAGCCTTCCTTGTAGCAGCTTTCTAGAAGTATGTTACACGTCTTAATTTGATCTAAGCCTCATTTTACAGAGGACTTCTTTCTGGGTATTTTGTCTCCCACACGTGTGTACACACACTCATTCTACACTCATTTTAACAGGTGGTACAAGGTGGCTAAAGACGTACATCCTTATTCGTGTTTCACTTCAGATGCATTATGAAGGACAATAACGTTAATTAAGCAGAGAATGATGGCAAATGAAAAGCTATAGTAAATAACAACACCAAGAGGATAACCATGTCAGAGGTGCTGCTGTCAACCTGTCTGAATGCAAAGCTTCTGTATCAACAAATAAAAGCTACTTTCTCCTCACTGTTAGCACAGCTGAAGAGATTATTGAACTTCAGGAAAAAATCCCAAGATAATATCAACAGCAGCATGTATTTCACACATGCACACAAAAAAAATCCCTTACAAGTTTCTGTTTTGCACGACAGTTCATCCAATCTACACAAACTAGGAGATGGGAACCTCTTGATTTCCCTTCAAGCTCCCTCAAAAATATTTGGGCTAGGCTTATCTGAAAATACAGGTGGGTTTTGAGGTGTGCAATTTTAGAATGGCTATATCCATACTCCTTTACCAGAAATCAGGGCACATATCAAACAATATTTTTCTTGCTCCTACAGCCAGCAAGTGTATAGTGATGACTTAACAGTTCCTTGCCTCAAAAGGACATTTTCATTGACTTCTGTTTCTTATTGCACATCCTCCTTTTGTGATGCCACCCCATCTTAACACTATCAAACTGCACTCAAGTACAGAGTTTATGATGCAACTCAGACTCTGTGCTTCAGTGCTTCTCAGACACCTTTACTTTCAGAACAAAATCATTTTTACGCTCATCTAAGACCACCCTGTACAAGAAGATTAGCTTGAAAATAAACTTCAGGAGTGAGCATGTATCTTCAGTATAAAAATATTTATTAGAAACACTGTTCTGCAAGTTGTACTACAGAATTTTCATCGCTTCTTCCATTTACCACGAGATCTACCTCATAACTATTTTAAGTATAATCATTACATAAAGTAGCACTGACGGTTTAAAGAAAGGAGTATCATCTTTCTTACAGACAGTGACAGCATCTCATATAGTGTTTAAAAACAGCAAAACTCTCCTATTCCTTTCAGCTACCCTTCAGTAGAAGTAACTCTTTTAACTAATCTTATTTTTTCTGTGGCTTCTTTAGACGCTAAGTACATAATACACAGAATGAAAAGCAGTGACATATTTAAGCAAGGCCATACCTTAAAACTCCTTCCATTTGGTCTTTGGTGTAGCCTTTTCCACTTTCACCTGTAGCAGATGCATTGCTCTCCTTCGTGCTATTGGGCTTACTTTGATCACTGCTACTGGCTGGTTTTCGGCAGTAAGCGCCTCCCCCAGCAGTACTTCCATTCTTCATAATAGCTTCCAACAAAACTATAAAAACAACAGTATATCATGGTATCATTACAGGTATTAGTGATGAAGTCAGAGCTCTCAAGTATCTTACATGAGAGCATCACATTATAAAAGACCAGCTGCTACATCCTCCTTTCTTGTTGATCATCACTTTGCACCACAAATGTTTCTGAAGCCAGTCTAGCAATACCTTTTCATGGCAAAACTATGGAAAAGTGTTTCACAATTAGTGACCAGACTCCCCTCCATCTCTGCCAAGGTACTGTAATACTGGAGAGAATTTGTCCAGGTCCTTCATTTCTAGATGTTTTTTAGAGGCACTGAACCTGTGCCTTGGGGTGAAAACATCAGAATACCTGACTAAGCCACCGTAAATCGAAGAGGAACTAACCTAATACTAAAGAAACCGCAAATTATTCCACACAGAGACCAAGTTCATCTCCAGCACATTTCAGTTGCTATAGTACGTACCTACTTGTTACGTGAGCCATTATTGGCCACAAACTGATGCTCCACTCCTTCCAGGCAATACTAGCTGAAATTCAAACCACTGTTAAAATGCCACAAATAACTCAGGACCAGCCAACCACACCCAACTCAAGCCATGAATCTTGAAAACGAGCAAGCTTTTGCTAGATCTCGAAATCCTCTTTCCTTCCACGTTCCAAGAGATGTCAAATTCAGCAGTTTTAATAAAAATACACTGTCTGCTTTTTCTTCCAGGATATAAGCCTGTATTTTGGGGGTAACCTGTCTTACCTATGAATCAGAAACAATACCATTCTAACACAAGGGACTGCACACAAACCATAATATAGATTGAAGATTATTAAATAGTCCAACTTTCCTGAAAGAGATCCCTTCAGAGCAAGATGGCAAACTACATAGGCCACATTTGTTTCATAAAAAATGAGAGTTACTATCTGCGTAGAAAAATACTCTAATAAAAACTGCAAAGGAAAAATGTCCATTTCACTGTGAAAGCATATTACAGCTTTACTGTTAAAAACACTTTCTTCTAGAAACTACTGAGAAGGTTCCTGAAGAATTTTCTCCTAAATTTAAAAAAAAAATTCTCTTCTGCCTAGCATGTCTCTCTTAGAGCAGCAGAAAACTGGGATCCTACATACCATAGCTTGTTATCTCACTGAAGCACAGGAAAGAAGAGAAAGTGGTGCTTTGTTTAAAAGGAGAATCATCACTTTCCTAAGATGTGCTTCTTAAATACTCCCCCATATTTACTTTTAAATTCACTTATTACCCAGTCGTCACAGCAGACTGAAGCCCTGAATAGCTACACTCAGCCTGAACAAATAAGTCAGCTGACTTCGGTGCTGGTCCTGGACTCGTGCCTGCCTCAGCAAGACTCATCGATTGATCAGATTGGGCTTTTTACTGCAGAAATGAAGAAACAACTACAATTTAGATGTATAGTTGTAACTGAGGCAATGTTTTCGCTACAAATGAAATCAGGTTCTTGAAAACAGGAGAGCTATAGTTGCATTGTGGATTATAACTGGAGTAGATATTCTGTATTTGCAATACTTGGTTCCAATATCATCCATTGTGGCGTTTGAAGTTCTGAGGTAAATGAAGCAATAACAACTCTAACGAGGTGACCAGGTCTGCAGGTTAAGGACTAATGAAGAACAGAGTTTTGAACAGACAAGGCCCTCAGAATGAAGCATTTTCAGTCCTAATGCACTCCAAACAAGTGCTAACAGGAAAAAAAAAAAAGTTTTCTATCCAGTGAGTATGACATTTAGTAATGGTATCATGCGGAATCCTACTGAATGTGTAACCCTGACTTCCCCTCTCAAACTAATGCTCAAAGTTTTGCAATTCCTGCTTTTATATTGGCACTGCTCTAGAAATTTCCCATCCCTGCACCAATGCTTGTGCAGAATCAGCGCGAACAATAATGGCAGAAATGCAGGCATAGGTGATGGTTTGCATTTTTAACATCCAGTGTCTCTTCACGGCGAGTGTAGCTCTAAGTCTCTTAATGAATTGGTTTGGCTGCAGTATACTTTCAACATTGCTATTTCACCTTCTAAGACCTCACAATGGAGCTGCATTGCTGAGAAGACAATGCAGGGTGGTTAAAAAAATAAAATTCAAATACATAAGTGTGAACTTCTTAAAATAGCAGGACAGCATAAACAAACACGCTATTGTTTTATGTTGAAAAAGAAAACCGTACAAAGGGCACGGGGCCATTGTTTTCTTCACAGAAAAGATACGGTTCAGATATTCAGAAACAACTTTGACTTTTCCATGAACTGCCAGTGATAAAACCAGCTGTTAGAACTGTAGAACTAACAACGTATTAAAGAAAGCTTTCACTATGCATCTAGGTATTTTAAAATAGGACATACAAAGAACCAAAGACTTATTTTGTTAGCAGGTAAGACAACGAATCTTATCTCTAAATGTGTCTGAAGTCTCTCTTCTGTGTACTATTACCTGCTGTTGAATGAAAGATCCTTGAACTGCATTTGGTTCCATTATGCATTGAACATGACCTCCCCTCTCTTTCACTAATGGAAAAACTGTTTAATTCAGAATTTGTCCTATTGCAACAGCCTAAAAACTAAGGTGACATGCTCCTGAAAAATTTGTTTTTAAGGGCAGCATCAGAAATAGGGCAAGAAAATATTAAGAAGCACAGAAAAATAAAGTTTCCCTTAATGTCGTTTTGTCTTCAACTCCAAACAGAATGGCACCTATGTTTGGAAAGGATATCTTATCCTCTGTTATCTGTAAATCCACTCTTATAAATCTTTTCCAGACAAGCAATTAGTTTCCGCTCAGTTGCAAGATTAATCATTACCAAAAATCAAAATCAAACAATTTTTTGAACAGCTGAACTCTAAAACAGTTTTCTAACAAAGAGTGACGTCAACATGAAAACTGCTACTATGAAGTCATTAGCTACGTATCAGTAAATAAGCACTGACCTTACATTTCACACTAGTAAAGCCTTAAAATAGCATTGCTGCAGTCAGCGTATTTCAGGCGGAGGCTTTGTTTAGCAAAACCAAACTTCACTGATGACTGAACTAGTGCTGAATGCCCTTTAAATGCAAATGTTGCCAAAAGCAAATCACACATAGTATTGTTTTAGAGACAATAGTTAAAACCTATTCTCTGTCCTTTTATAATCCACTACGACATTGGGAGGAGGAAGCTCCCACTAGTAAAAGATTCAGCACTACTATTCTCATTGGTTTTATGACCGACAGAACATCATTTGTGAAATGGTGGGCAATTGTTCTCAGAATGATACTGAAGATACAATATATCTGTGACTTCAGTGAGAAATTGGTACAAACTACCTTCTAATTCATACCCCAAAGAGAAAGTAAGTGAGCACAGAGACAACTGGGGCTGCACCATATTGTCCTATGACTGTATAAACCCAACACACTTTGACTGTAAAATAAGAGTTTGTGTTCAAACTAAATGGGCTCACAAAAACCGTAACTGTTCTTTCTCTCTTGTATGGGCTATGGCATATTTTTAATTACCTGAATTATGAATTACAGGTTTTTTTTCTTCAAGTGCCCCCCCCACTTAATTTATCTGGATGTCAATGAGAGTAATTTCATTTGTTCTTAGTCACTGTAAAATGCCAGTTCTAATGTATTGCACACCTTCCAGTTCCTGTCCTGAAAAAAAGGACATTCTGTGTCCTTGCAGCTTACTACACTTTTAGCAGGGTTATTTAAGTGCCTCAAAAACTTTAAAACCAAAATAAATTCAATTACTTGGTACTGTTTGGGAGGAAATGAGATGAGTGTAAAAGAATTAACAACTCCATGGCTAGAAAACTGAAGTACAGAGATATTACAAGTTTACAGAGTTCCTGAGTTTCTAAGTATCTAGTTCAAATCAGGCCTAGGGTACCACTGAATATTTTCAATGGTATTAGGGCATCTACAATTCTCAGTATCTTCAGACGGAGCTTTAACTGCCCACCAGTTCCACAAATCAGGCCCTTGTTTCAAGCCAAATACCTGAAAAACAAAGCACAAAAAGCTAGCCAGTCACTAAAGGAAATGGAGTGACTTATTTAACATCACAGACAAATTCTGTGAAGCATTTAGTTTCAGGACACAATTTCCCAGATTATAGTCCACTATCATAACCACAAAACTATCTTCTTTCCACCAGGTCTGTACCTCATTTGTGGCTCACTTTGCTAATTTCCACAGTGAATAAAACAAGTGTCCTACAGACAATAGCCTAATTAGCCATCTATTTCTTGCACTGAATACTTTTTAATGGTGGTGGCCTAGTGGTTAGCATGCAGGACTCTCACCTCTGCGACCCAGGTTCGAATCCCAGCCAGTCCCCCGGGCAGATGGAGCCCGTTAGCCCTGTAAGGCCATCCATCTATGAGAAGGTCACTCTAAAACAAAACCTACGTCCTGAGGACCTCACTGCCATTGTCCAAGCTTGCTTGGCCCCGGCAGATGAACCTTAGGATTAAAGGGTGGGCTCAGTTCAGCGCAGGCTGTGTCTCACCTAAAAAATCCATTGCGCAGGCTGGAAAGGTAAAAAGACCTTTCCCCAAATCTTCGTTCACGAAGACTGGCCATTATTATTATTATATAGTGGCAGTCCTACTTAAAAAAACCCCAAACGCTCAAAACAAACCAGATAGAGATTTTTTTCCCTGAAAGCTACTGTAACTAGTATCTGGGAGATATAAGAGGGTAATGAGCTATGTGAAGCAGACAAGCTTTCTCCTTGGTGAAAGCTGAATTGAAACCCTCTGCCTTCCTGCCTCCTGATCCACACAGCTTCCAAAAAGCTGAAAGTATGTTCACGCATGTCATCTTTTCAAGCCACAGACATTTAGAGGAGTATGGCAACATCTATGCTGTCTTGTAGAAGAAAAAACAAACACTTGAAAAATTAAACGTTGTTTAAAAAAAAAAAGCACCGGTGAGACCTTCACTTATTGTTTGCATATAAAAAGTAGTCAGGAGAAAAAAGAGGCCCAAAAATGTTCACTGAATCTGCTCACCTGACTTAAAAGGCTTCACTACAGAATAAAATGCAGCAAAGAACACTTCCAGTCAGGATTTTGCCCCAAAGTTGTGTTCCAGAAATGGCAAATGCTGAGGCCTTTAAGTCGGTACAGAGAACTGAAGTTGTTCCTACTAATTCCACAGCATAGACCACATAAGTGAGAACCTGAGGAACGCAACAAGTCACTGCTACGTCCAACGGTGTTTCCAGCCGACTTCTGGCACAGTGTAACAGAAAGACTCCAAGACGGGTGACAGTTCCAACACACTCCGAAACCTCATTATCTTTCCTTTTAAAAAAATATTGCTAAACACCTTTTTCTAGAAAGATGCTAATTCTTTTTTCAGTTTTTAATACAGAATTAATTGTCAGATGAGCCAATGAAGTCCTAGGGGGAGCCACCTATCCCATTTTCTCTAGGAAAGGTAAACTCATGTGCAATTCCTACGTAGCTATATACAACCAAAAGGGAACCGAGAAAACCCAAACCACAATTAGAGAATGAAGACATGGTCCACTCCGGAGCTGCAGCTCTTACTGCAAGCAGTTATCGAGGGGTAATTCACATTGACAGAAGAAAGGCCAACCCAGCCTGTCTCGGCCTGGGGCCTGAAATGTCCTGCTGTTAATCGAGGCTAAGCCTAGTCTGTATGGCTACGTTTATACTGACGGCTGAAGGGAGGAGGGAGAATGCAGGCGAGGCGCTGGGCCGGCCTTGGGGGATACCCTCTGGCGCGGGGGGAACCAAGCCCACTCCTCCGCACCGCCTGACGCCGGAGGCAGGCACTGGCGGTGGGAATCCACCTGCCCTGAGCGCTGCTCCCGGGCACATCCTTTGGCCTCCTTTCCCCGCCAGAGCCCAGACGGCCTGGCCTTGGGGGGCAGGTCGCGCTCGCCTCGGCCTGCGGGGCCCCCCCTCGCCGCCCGCCCTCCTGCGGGCCCCGCGGTCGCTCCGGGCTCGTCCCGACAGCGCCGGGTTGCGGGGAGGGTGCCGGGCTTCACCTCGGGCCGTCTCGGTCGGGTAGAGTTTCTGCGCCTTGCCGAGGAAGCGGAGGGCGCGGTCGCGGTTCCCGGCCTCCAGCGCCTCCCGCGCGATCCCGATGCACTTCTCGGCCTCGTCCCGGTTCCCCTCCATGGGCTTCTCCTTCCGCCGCCTCCGCCCGCCGCAGCGCAGAGAGAAGGGGCCCGAAGCCAGAGCGGAGGCGGGCGGGGCGGAGGGCCCGCGAGCGGAGCGGGGCGTCGGGCGGGGCTCCCTCACTCCGCGGGGCTCCCTCGCTCCGCAGGGCTCATCCCGCCGCTGCCGCAGCCCCGGCGCCGCTCGCACCGGCACCACCGCGGGCCGCTTCCGGGCCCCGCCGCGCATGCGCCGCCCCGCCCGCCCGGGGCTCCGCCGCTCACCCGGCCGGGAGGGGCGGGGACGGGACGGGAGCGGAGCATCGGGATCGTCCCGGCCGGGAGGGGCGGGAAGGAGACGGGACGGGAGCGTTGGGATCGTCCCGGACGGGAGGGGCGGGAAGGGGACGGGAGCGCCCCCGGCGGGAGGGACGCTCCCCGCCCGCCCGGCCTCGGGAAGGAGCCGTCACGATGGAAAAGTACCATGCGCGCTCCCGCACCGAAGGGAGAGGATCCCGAGCGCCGTCGGTGCTTACAGGGCCTCAGGGTACTTGTTAGCACCTCGTAAATGCTCCCTGTAACTAGTGACATCAATTACATCCCGGCAAGGACGGCGTTGCCGCGAAGAAAGCGCTCGGGCGCTGCTCCAGGGAAGCACCGCAGCGCCAGGAGGAGCGCAGTTAATATAGGTCTAGCCAGCATCTCCGATCTAGGTCACCGCCTCCCAGCTATAGTGCTGCGGCAGAGATTACTGCCTGGAAGAGCTTATAGAAACAGAAGAGCCTGGTCACAGCAAAAGCATCTCCATTTGAAGTGTTTCACTGCTGGATGCAGTTCTGGAAGGCCACTGCCCCCAGCCACACACAGTAACCATCCCCTTTTGCTTCACCACAAGGTTTCCCTGACCGCAGCAATAAGCAGGGCTTTGCTGTAAAAAATGAACTTGCAGAGAGCTGGAAAAGAACAGCTGAAGATGTGACCAGAACCCCCCGTAATCCACTACTGAGGATGCTGCTGCATGGCAGAAGTTAAGGGCTGCTGCAGTACAGCCCCTGCTCACACACGGCTCTCCCCAAAGCTTCTTTTACAAGCTGAAACAGTAGAGGGGCCAGATGCTAACAAAGAAAATCAAGTGAAGCACAGATTTTCAACATCCCTTCACCTTATCTTACCACCTCCTCCTCCCTGACCCTTTCCCCCATGAAGAGACGAATCAGTCTTGACATAACATTTATTGAGTATTTCCACTCTAGTGGATGAAACATCTGTACAAAACCAAACATTTCCTTTACTTACTCAAACCAATCTAGAAACAGTCAACTCACTTAAAACCCACTACAAACACAATAGCTTCTTTGAAGCCATGGTAACACTTAAATACAGTTAAGACTTCAATGCAGAAATTTGGTTTGTTAGAAAGCTCAAGGGAGCTTTAGCTTCTCAAAGTTAAAAAAAGGCAAAATTGTGTTTCACAGATACAGTCCACTGGAATCACCAACACTGGACAAATTAAGTACTTCGAGTCCTGAGATAACAAGGAATCCTGGTATCCTTTAGACAGTCTTCTGTTGTCCTTTCTTGCCAATGAGAGACTTGTGGATATGCGGTATTACACCTAAGAAAGAGCAACAATTAAGACCACATGATTTCTCAACAGTTTTCCTAAGCTTTGTACTTCAAATGAAAGTGACAGCACTAAGCAACCTGTAGTCTGAGACAGTTCCTCCACCCAACCAAACACAAACAGCAAGCAACTGACATACCACCACCAGCAATTGTTGCCTTGATCAGAGAATCCAACTCTTCATCTCCTCTAATGGCAAGCTGCAAGTGACGGGGAGTGATACGTTTCACCTTCAAGTCTTTGGATGCGTTTCCTGCCAGCTCAAGGACCTGGGACAAGACCATTTTTGAACAGTTACACAATCAAGTGAGACCAACTGCACAGTCTCAGCTGTTTCAAATACTGTGTCACCATTAGTGACACTGAGACAGCAAACAATGCCTCTTCCAAAAGGGTTCCTCCTTTGGAGCTCTACATTTAGTTTTCCCAATAAGAAGAGTGTTTACAGGAGATATGACATGCTGTAATGGCCCGTTTTATAAGTTACTTCACACTTGCATTTTTCCTGCAAGTCACAGCACCAAATTTGTGTGAAATGCAGAGCACACATATTTCATGGTCTTCTGATAATGTATGCACTTGAAACTGGCTCAAAGCAAGTGAAGAGCTCGTAACCCAGTCCAAACTGGCAAAATACAGCAGGCTCTGGTCATTACGGCATTTGGGAGTTGACCAACTTGCTTGCACCCCCTGCAGGTTTTACCTCAGCTGTCAAGTACTCCAGGATTGCAGCACTATACACAGCAGCTGTGGCTCCCACACGTCCATGGCTGGTCGTCCTAGACTTCAGGTGCCTGTGGATGCGGCCAACAGGGAACTGGAAAAAAACCAGAAGCGTGAACAGGCTGTGACGGCAAAGCCACTGCACAAAACCACATCCTGGGCTGCGAAGTCCCAGTGGCAGATGCACAGGCTGTGTTTCACTTGAGAAACCAGTTAAGGACACCGCATTTCACACTCACATCAGCAACTTCACAATTTGCAGCACAAACAGCAGCAGCCATATGGTTATTATTTTGCCTCCTGCACGGATATGCAAAAAGGTCTAAATCCATGTCTGGCTTAAGATCCTTACACCACTTGGGACAACAGGCAGACGGCAGAGTGCACAGGTTCCATGAAGTACAACCAACCAACAGATGGAAGATCTGCCTGACTTCACCTCACCCACGCCCCAGCCCCTGCTCACCTGCAATCCAGCCCGCTGGGAACGGGACACTGCTTTGGTCTTGGTCTTCCCGGAGTCCTTCCCAGCTTTCCCGCCAGCCTGGCAATGCCAAGGGAAAATCAGGAGTTCATGTCCCCCCCAACCCCGCCCTCCGCGCATGCGCCCCGCTCCTCCCCCCCCCCCCCCCCCCCCCCGCAGAGGGGCACGCGCGGCGCCGGGGCGCGTGCGCGCCGGCCACTGCACAGGCCGCTCCCCGCGCGCATGCGCGGTCGGCTCTCCCCGTCCTGTCCCCTTCGGCGCCAGTGCGCGTGCGATCGCCCCCCCACCCCCTGCTCCCGCCGCGCGCCGCCCGCGCCCTCACCCGCCGCTCCGGCCCGCGCGCGCTCCTCCGCCACCCGCAGCGGCGGCAGCGCCTCAGCCCCGACAACCCCCGGCGGCAGCGCCACCGCCACCCACCCGAACGGCCCCCGCGGCTCCTCACCATGGCGAACCGGAGTGCAGCGCCGCGAAGGTGGGTGGCAGGCTGAGGCAGAGAACGTCCCGCACGCACCGAGCTCGGGCGACAACACCAACCTACCCCGACCCGCCGCGATTCAAACTGCAGCCGCTCCCGCCTTCCCCCGGCCCTTTATAACCGCCGAGCGCGCCCGCATCCGGGAACCCCGGCCCAGCCGCCAGCCAATGGCCGCGCGCGGGACGGCCGCTCTGCCCCAGCGACAACCAATGGCGGGGCGGGGCGGGGCCGGCCCGCGGCGCGGGGCAAGGCAGAGGCCCCGCCCCCGTTTAAAGAGACAGGCGCGGGTCGGGGGAGGGGTGGAGGGGGGTGTCTGATCCCGCCGGCCCCCGTCTGTGCTGGGGATGGGGCTCGGGGAGATCCCCGGTAGGAGAGGCGCTGCTCAGACTCATCCCTCTCCGTTACCCGAGGTTCTTTATCATCAGGTCCCGCGCCTGCAGCGAGTCGCGCTCCGGAGCTGCCGCAGTGCCGTCGAAGCCTCCCTCCCACAGGGGGAGTTAATTGGCTTAGTGTGCAAAGCGCCTCAGGAGCAGCCTGAGGGAGATTATGTCCCTTGTTTGGGATGAGGGGTTGTTAGCGGGGAACACGAGGCTGCCCAGTGGCGTCGAATACAGATGAAGTCACATCAGCTCCTCACGATTCCGGGGATGGGGGAACGCCGGCAAGGCTGACAGCTCCACACACGTGCACTGGTTTTCATTTCTACCTCCATCTTACGAGGGGGATGCATCATCACAAAGGGCCACCCTGCCTCAGACCCATTTGTCTCACTGGGTATTTCACAAACTATGGCTGAAATTCATCATGAGTTCTGTTCCAAGTGTAACGTTTAATTAATGCAGTGTTTCCTCAGCTTTGGCACTTCAAATCCCTGCCTGTATTTTCCTGAAATGAAGCTTTAACCCTTTTTTTCTTTTTTTTTTTGGTGCCATTTTCAGTAAATTATCAGTTAAACCTCGGAGCTCAGCAGAGGGTATTCTCGGTTAATCCAATTCCTTCAACTTCCAAAAAGTAACAATTCCTTGTGCTCTTCCAGAACACTGTAAGTTTCTGTTATCTGAGAGATATGCCACTCATCTGTGAGCATGCAGTGAGCTCAGGGAGAAACCCTGGCCTTTCCTGGGCCAATTAGCTCTTTAGGCAGAAGACTGGCGGGATCTGTCATACACTTTACCAATCTAATCACTAAACCACCACACATTAACACAAGTATTTCCTCTGCCTTGATATCAAAGGGTCCCAAGCATGATGAATACTCTTACAGACAGACCTATAATGGGAGGTAGAGCTGAGGGCATAACGTTCTCATGAGGATACTCTGCTTGCCATAACTTTTCCACTTTCTTCAGGTCTTCAACAGTTGAAATACTCAGAGCACTAAGACAGGAGGATATGTGCTGATCTGTAGAGCTTCACTTCAAGGTCTTTCGAGCTGTTCACTGGAATAGTAAAGATTTAAAACTTTGTACCTCTTCTGCTCCAACGTCTGACTCCAAATACTTGGTCCCCTGGTTACAAAAGACCCTTTAGTTGAACCTCAAGACAGCCTGAGGCCACATCATCAGTGCCTTCAACACCCGAGTTTCAGTTTGGGCATCTAGTCCTAGCTGCTACCACCGCAGGATGGGGAGACCTACTTCCAGGCACATGCACAGAGAGGCAGGACTGAATTGAGAGCAGATACGCCTACATACAGGGATCTGGCAGTTTGTTTTTATGTAACTGTCTGGTGCTTCTGTCTATTTGAAGCTTCATTTGTTTATATTCTCCTACAGCAAGAAAGAAGATAAGAGGGTTTGAAGGGGTTTGGAATTTTTTTTTTTAAGTTTAAAAACAAACCTGAAGATTTTACAAAAGCCTGCAGAAGTTAAGATTTCACTCAACAAGCACAACCTCAACTCTCTCCTCTGCTATTTAAAGACACAAATGGAAACTAGCTAGCTTAGGTACGCTAGGAACAATTCCAAAGCAACTTCAGACCCAGCTGTGAGCACAAATAACCTCAATCCCACATGAACAAAGGGAGCACTTACCACCTCCATCTTCCTGATGATATTTGTACCCCAAGCCTAGCCTTAGGTGTCTTATCCAGTGGGAAGAAGGAAGATATACTTCAAGGGGGACAAAGCAGAATAATAGGCTTTTATTGGCCTAATTAACATTAAGAAAGTGGAAAATCTCTCTAAAAGGATAGATTATGGGGAACCTGATGAGAAAAGATGCAGTTGGCCTGGTGTGTACCTTGTGTAATGGTGTTAAATACGCCTTAGGAGAACTGGGGTGTAGTGCTGCTTTCTTTTCTACTCTGTCTACTACTTAGTATGGGGACCCCTGGTGGCCTAGTGGTTAGCGTGCAGGACTTTCACTGCTGCAACCACGGGTTCGATTCCCAGTCCCTCCCGGGCAGATGGAACCCGTTAGCCCTGTGTGGCCATCCATCTATGAGAAGGACACTCTAAACAAACCTACGTCCTGAGGACCTCACTGCCATTGTCCAAGCTTGCTTGGCCCCGGCAGATGAACCTTAGGATTAAAGGGTGGGCTCAGTTCAGCGCAGGCTGTGTCTCACCTAAAAAAATCCATTGCGCAGGCTGGAAAGGTAAAAGACCTTCCCCAAATCTTCGTTCGCGAAGATGGGCCATTATATATATATATATACTTAGTATGATTTCCTTGGAGAAAAAGAATTATTTTTACTTACCTCCAAAATATGAACATACTGTACAAAGCAGGTACCAATTCTCACCCCTCACTAAGTAATGGACTATGATCATGGTATTATTTGGACTATCTTGAATTAATTTCTTTCAGGATTTTAGTTTCTGCAGAAGTGGTGGAGATCATCTTCATTAGCAGACTGATGAAGCATTCCCAGAAAGCTCTTTGTATCACATCCCTCAGAACTTTACAGTTTCTGAATCCTGAGCAAGTTTAAGTGGGAGATACATGCATGCCTAGGTGCTCAGCTTTGCCATGGCGTTCCTGGGATACAATATCTGTGGAACTTCAAAAGCCAGGTGTCAGAAAGCATTTGAGAAATTATTTTTTTAGGTCACAGCTAAGCCGAGTCAGCTCATTTTTTAGCATACAGGTTTTAGTCAGAGGTTTTAGTATGCTGAACTTTGAACTAACTCCCCTTAGGTGAGTAATATAGTTTGTCAGGGTTTCTTTCAGCCCGTAGCCACTGCTAACATTCATTTAGGCTCTAGTTTTTTGTGGTGAGATCAATTACAGTATGACTTGTATTTGCCCCTGGAGCCATTTCCCGTTGCAGAGGGCTTCCCTGCTGCCCTTTTGCAGGATCTCTAGCAAATGAAAGGGTTCTGCTGAGCTGGGTCTCTCTATTGGCTGCTGTATTTGGGTTCAGGAAATTCACATCCTCTCCAGTTGCACGGTTATGTTGTGCGTAGTGGTGAATGGATTCAACTGTTCGGTTTAACAGATACATTTATTAATCTGGTATCTCTAAACAGCTACACACATTGAAAGAATGAGATATGCTGTGAGATATGAGGTGAAGGGATTACTGTGGGTGTGGTGGCCTGCTGATGGGGTGATAAGCTATCTATCTATAGGTTGTAGGTGATCCTCATCACTGCAATTCAGGAGGAAGAGGGAGTGATCTAGGGTTTCACAGTTCTGTTCTGCCCTTGGCCATTACACACAGCCTTTATAATCACTCTATTTGTAACTTTTTATATTCATCATTTACATATAAAGTGTCTGCCCCCCCATTAATGACGGCAGCTAACAGAATATTTGACTACATTCTCACCTCCACTTCTCCAAAAGAGTAGAATTTGGCATTTGAAATCCTCCATGGCAGGAGATGAGAATACAACCACCTTGCAGAAAAGTCAAAGGGCTTGCTCTCCTTCCCCAAAGTAGGGATGCCTCTTTGGTAAGATCTGTGCCTCTGGAGCATACTTGTAAACACTTGTACATGGTGGTATACATTTATATTTTGCAGGTCTAGTGAATCACCACCAATCTAAAAGAATCTACAATCTGTTGCTGCACTGCACTGTTTGTGAGTCTGTGTTCATGCAAGTTCTTTTGAACTTGACCAGACTGTTGCATTGATAAACTGCACTCTTTGTGAATATCTAATCGTGAATGAGACCAGACTTACAGTGTAACCCACTGTATTGGTGCATCTGGGATCTTACTGAATGCAACCAAACTTACAGTGCTGAATTGCTTATAATAAAAAATTAAGCCTAGTTGCACCCAGCCTCCCTGAGGGCTAGCTGGAAAGCAGGAGGGTTTATTTTCTGCCAAATTTCTATTCTCTTAACTCAATACAGGTTTCTGTAGTAGCTCTGTAGATAACACTTGCATACTAATTTCAGAGATTTGAACTACCCTTATATCTACACTGTTCAGTATACTCCTTTGTATCAGCTATTAATAGTGTCATAATGACTAGCCTGAATAGATTTTTATCTTGTTCTTGTTTAGCCAGCTCTGAAAGGAAGCTACAGCTAGTTAGGCAAAGTGAAATGAGAGTCTGTCAGAGACAGTGACAGCCAGAACTCCTTACCCTCATCCTTCCATTGTCTTACACAGAAACCTATCCCTCAAAATTCTCTTGTTGCTACGTGCCTTGGTCCTCGCCCTTACCCATATTTGAGCTCCATTCAAAATAATTATATTTACGTGATCGTTTGTGCTGGCTACAAAGCCATATGCAAGGACCTAGTCCAACTATGTTCAAGTTGGGCAACTCTCAAGTGGCTCTAATTTGCCACGTGATACCTATGCCCAGAGGACATTGTAATTAAATAGGCTTTTACCAGACATAGCAATTTGGTTATACCAATTTCTTTTGCTAAGAAAGCAACCTGGAAAAATGTAAAAAAGAATGTGTTTTCCTGAAGGTGCCTTGTTCCAGAATTTCAATCAAAATGTTCCTTTGCAGGAGCTGGAAATGGTTCTTCAAAACTTGTTCTGTGAAAATGAAAGGGAAAAAGAAGAAATGCCACCTGCCCTTTGGAAGAGCAGAGAGAAAATTTATGGCGGACTTGCCCTTTCCTTGCCAAAGTCATTGCAAGTAGAGGAGATCCAATTCTTCTTTATTGGTAGGGGACAGCTAGTACAGCCATCTTTTGTTTCTAGTGTGACAACCTGGTTTATTTCTTTCTCATGGTGTA